AATCCATTTTTTTAAAATCTTGATTTATCATGTGATTTTGAGTGTTATTGTTGTTTGTACGGCCATTTTCCTTGCTCCATGGTACGGCTTTAGCCTTTCTAAAATTATGGCAATTCAATGTTTTGTTGTAAATATCATTATTCAATATTTGAGTAACATTAATCTTTTCTTTTCAAGTAAAAACGTGCTCTAAGGTGTTTTTTATGTTTTGGGTTCAAAGTTGTTATTTTATAGGCGTATGTTATTGAAGTGTTTTCGCATGTTCTGGTATCAAGACAATCCAATAATAATATGTGTGCATAGCATTTGTTCATTGACTGGTTCTGTTTTCATTCCTCCATGTTTTAAGGAAAATCTGTTGAATATTACAAAAAAATATTCGGCCTTTTATTTTAAAAACAACATTGAAGTAGAAATTGCTACACTCTAATTCTAAACCATAAGTTCTGAAGCTGAAATATGCATCATAATGCCAAATTTTCAGTCATGATTTGAATGTTGTTGTTGTACAACTGTAGCCTTTCTATAATAATAATGAAATATTATAATTTCATTTTTCAATCCCCACCCCCTATGCCCCAAAATAAAAAATTTAATCACCATCTACTTCTAGGCCTATTCAATTTTTTTTTTTTGGCATTTGAAATTGAAAAATGATGATTTTCGAGAACGTAACTTATAAACTGGCTCTAACGTGTTAACTCTAATTTGTGTATTTTTTTGTTCCACAGATTCTGCCAGTATTTAATCCTCCCAGCTCCCGCCATGACTTGATCATGAGTTTTCATCACTGACCAGGCTGATTTCTATTTGTTGTTTTGTTGAGTGTTTGTAGAGTGTTTACGGTTGAAACACGTAGTTCCTTGCTCTGTGGTTTCGAAAAGTGATGGCACCGGAGTGTCTTAAAGATCTGTGTCGTCTATGCGGGCAAACTGGAGCCATACAAAAAGGCCGCAATCCCCATTCCAAAGAGAAGTATGGATGGATGATTACACGGGCACTAGGGGAAGATGTCAGTCTTGATGATGAGTTTACTCATCCTCCTTTCATCTGTCATGGGTGCTACAAAAAATTGCAGCAGTGGTGGGCCAATGCCAAGAAGAAGAAGGCGGCTACATGTCGGATAAATCTCTCCACGTTTGAAAGACACCAGGTGTGTGATGTTTGCAGGAGTGCAAATATGGGTGGAAAAGAGGATTCAGCTCCGTAAGTTGACCTATCGTCTTTGATTTCACGCGCCACCTCTCGGGGATGGATTGCCTGGAAAGGGCCAACTGATTTGATGGTTATGCGATTTGGTAGTAATGGTCGCCCTGAGATTTCCATCTCAGTTCATCCGGATTTCACCTGGGAAGTTTTGGTGTGTGAAGTTAAACTTTCATCCAACTCTAGTCACCTCTGTCAGGTACCAAATATTCTGGAGGAGGAAAGTTTTGACCGATTCATTGATGTGATGGAGTTGTTAAATGTATGTGTTGGTAATTGTGATTTTGTTGAGTTGGTCAAGTCCAAAGAGGGAGAGCACGGGCAGGTGCCGATTACCATAACTGGGAGAGATGTCTACCAGACTTACCCATTTGCGACCATCCGTCATGAGATGTGCTCCCTTCTGTCTCCAAAGCCTCAAAATAAATGTGAGGTTTGTAAAGTTCATCGAGGAGATCTGTCGTCACTCTCTGTGAGGGTAAAAAAGTCGAAGTCTCGAGATGTGCAGCTTACTCCCCGCACGACCCGGAATGACAAGATGTCTTCATCTCAACTTCGTGCAAAGGCATCACTCCTGCAAGCCCAAAGACGCGTCCTAATCAGGAAGAATAGAATTCTTTGCGACAAAATCTCACATATCATAGACGTGGAGAGTGTCCAGCTGACTCCTCACCAAAATTCAGCTGTGCAGAAAGCTTTCCAAGATTGCAGCTTGCTTATTGATGAGGAAATTAAGTCCTCTTCCCCTGCCTCATTGTTATGGGAGCAGCACAGTGAATCCCTCAAAAAGGGAAAGGCAATGAGATGGCACCCTGCAGTGATTCGCTTTTGCATAGCTCTGCATAGCAAGTCTACCTCTGCCTATAATTTGATCAGAGATAGTGGATTTCTGCGGCTGCCACACCCCACGACACTCCATCCATACAGCCACTTCACCACCCCGTCATCAGGCTTCAACTGTGACCTGGTTAAGAGAATTGTGGCCGATCATATCTCCGAGAACATGCCAGATCATCATCGAGATGTGTCCATATTGTTCGATGAGATGAAGATAAAGTCTGGCCTTGTCTACTCCCATAGTACGGGTAATATTGTTGGAGCGGTTGATGTAGGAAGTGTGGCTAATGAGATTCTAGCGTTTGATCGAAGATGCAAGGGAGAGAAGGATGTGCCAATTGCTAGCCACGTACTAGTCTTGATGGTTAGGGGTGTTTTCACAGCACTGCATTCTCCTGTTGGGTACTACCCCAGTGTTGGGGTTGCAAGCCATCAGCTGTACCCATGCTTGTTGGAAGCAATAGTGATGTTGGAGAATGCGGGTTTTGTTGTCCGGGCCTTGGTCAGTGATGGTGCCTCTCCTAACAGGAAGTATTACCGAATGAATCGGGATGAGGATGATGACAGCACTATTGTGCATTGCACAAGGAGTCCAGCCCAACCATCCAGAAAGATCTACTTCATCTGTGATGTGCCTCATCTACTGAAGACGACCCGTAATAATTTCGAAAATTCAGGATATCACAACAAGACTCGTCATCTGCACGTAAGTGTATTAAACAGTTATCAGGTTATGACCATTGCATATCAACACCAGAGCAAGTAATACAGTTCCCATTGCTCCATGTGTCAATGTACAGCCCATGGTGCAGTTAACCTTGCATCATAAAAACTGAGCTAGACATTGTCAAAATGTTAACGTTGGAAGTTTGTTTTAAATGGAGACCAATATATGCAGAGAACTTGCTGCCAGTGTTTTTTTTTCAGAATGCTGTTATCCCCGTGGAGTCCTTTATAAGTTTGCGTGTTTCTTATTTTCTACAGTTCAAAGGGCAAGACATCAAGTGGAGCCAGCTGCTGATGCTCTACGAGTGGGATGTCGGCCTCGATCGGTCCTCCCCAGGTCTGCGACGCCTGCACAAGCTGACCTATGAGCACCTTCACCTCTCCCCAACACTGAGAATGCGCGTGTACATGGCTGTCCAGGTAATTTGAGAAATCCACTTTAAATCGTTAAATTACAACAAAGACAGAGTAGGTTTTTGTATTTTTTTTTCGGGACATGCACAAGATTTGCTCCTAACTGTAAGAGGCAATCTCTTGGATAAAATAACATAGTGTTAGCTGTTGCATAAAAGCTTATATTTTACCCCTGGGAATTTTTCACAGTAATTTGTTTTATCAGTAGGGCCTATTTGATGAATCATATATGATTGTCCTTCTTTGTGTCAATTGTAGGTTCTTAGCACCAGTGTTGCCAACGCCATGAAGGCTCAAGGACGTCATGACACAAAATCAACGGAGATCTTCATCTCCAACTTCGATAAGTTTTTTGATTGCCTCAACGTGTCCAACCCCCACGATGGGATGCGCAAGCGTAAACCAGCTCTTGAGCCCTACAGGTCCTCCGATGATTGGCGTTTTGAGGTAAGTTGTGAATAGAAGTGTACATGCATAGTGATAGCCTCTTGTGATTTTCTTTCCCTCATAATAGAAAGTCTATAATACTATTTTGGCAATTGGCAAGTGAATGTAAAGTGCAGTGTTTAAAATGATATTTTATTGTTGATGTTTAAGCATCTTATGCCTGCTAAATGTCAAATGAAAAAGTGCATTCTGTAAATAGCAAAATGAGGATTAAAACACAGGGTAGGGAAGATGATTCTGACATTCATTTATTTGCATTGACAATCGATTCTTTCATTTCATTTTCAACAGTGGCTTCAGAAAGACTTTCTTGGCTTCTTAGAAGAGTGGGAGGAAGAGATAGCCAGCAATCCACATCTCACCGCCAAGGAGAAGTCCAAGATGTGTCTGAGTAGAGAGACTTTGGAGGGCATCAAAATTACAGGCAAGTCTTTAACTTGATTTAATTGCATGATGGGCTTGAGAGTTTTGGAGAAGGTATCATTAGCAGGGTCAGATCTAGGATTTTCAAAGCGGAGGTGGGGGGGGGGGGGGGTTGAGTTCAGTGGTACTGTAAATTTGCACCCCAAAAAAATGATACAGAGCTCTTGACCTCCTCCCCCCCCCCCCAACCACATTTTTTTTCCGGCATTCATTTATACAATAGCTGCTCCAATTTTTTTTGTTTTGTTATATTTTACTGGGTTTTTTTCGTATCGTAAAAGTGGATCTCCCAAGCAGAACCCCCCCCCCCCCCAAAAAAAAGGCATCGAGACTGTTAACAAGTTTTCAATATATATATTGAAGGTGAAAGGTTTGCTTATGTGCAACTGCTTGTACGCGTTAGGCATATGTATCTATTAAGGAAGAGTTAGCAAATCCCTCTAATAACTATTCCCCAATATGTGCATAGTTTTACAACTTTAAGTAACTGCTTTGATTTCTTTTTCTCTCAGTTCGCTCCTTTGTGAATCTCTCTCAACTGCTCCTTCAGTCGCCTGGTGTCGAATATCTGTTGAGCGAGAAGTTCAACCAGGACCCCTTGGAGATGCACTTCTCCAAGCAGCGAGGGGCTGGAGGCTGCAACGACAACCCAACAGTAGAGCAAGTGGGGTACAACATGTTTTCGTTCTATGTTGCATCAAAGTGCCTGAAGGCTTCACGGAAAGCAAACGTCCGACCAGTTGGCAGTGTAGCAACAGTTGTAGACAACACACCCCTACCAAAAAGAGCCAAGCACAAGTAGTGTGCATAATTAATAGCCAGTAGTGTGTAAAGTTGGAATATTTTCTTAATTCCCACCGCCTTCAACGTCTTTCTAGGCAGATTTTGGTACAAAAATATCCATTTTATTATTATCAAAGAAAAAACAAAGACGGAAACCACTTCACTTTCCTTTTGGTGTTCCAGATCAATTTTAGTTCATATGTCAAGCATAATATAAATGGTAAAAATACATATTTAAATAGTTTCAGTGCCATATCTAGGAATCAAATTTGTAGTTGTACTTTTGTTAAGGTCATAAGAAGTACATGTACATGTAAGTCTGTATCCTTTACAAAGTCTCACATGGAATGTTCATTGCACATGTCATTCTGAAAACACTGAACTAAAATGAATAAGCAAGGATGGTACAGTGGAAAGTAGTTAATAAGCGGTCCTTGGGACTTGGCAGATTACCCTTATTATAACAGGAACCTTGTATTATCAGGAATGAAAACAATGAAAAACAAAGAATTGGGACCTAAAATTTTCCTTGTTGTATCCAGAATCTTGTATTAACAGTGCTCTTATTATCGAGGTTCGACTGTACTAGTTTCAATTTTTTCTTTTGGTGCCATCTGTGGTACAATAATATGTTTTTGCCAAAGAAGACACGTGAATTTGGGGAAAAATTGGTTTACTAATATGAATGGTACAAATTAAAACAAAACCAACTTTACTTGCTTTCTATGCTCAACTTCATGTTCATTGTATTATTTAAAAAAAGCCAGACTTGTTACATGTTCTCATAACTATTTTGTTCATGGTCGACTGTACACATAAAAAGGTCAAGATGCTTAATGAAGTGTTTCATACAAACAGCTAAATGCAAGAGCTAAACCCCGAGGTGATAAATTATTTCTTCAAAGTGATATGTACCATCCCTTAATAAAAAAAATAATTTATTTATAAAAGCCAAAACAAAGTTGCCTAAAATCATCTATTATGATTGGTATGTGTTTTTCTGCAAAACAACGGTTTCAGCTTACAGGTTCTTTTTTTAGCAAAGTATTTAATGGATACTTCATAGACAGTGAGTAATCATAATTGAAATACTCAAACACTGAAGCTACTTTTTCACACACAACTGCATTAATCCACAGGTTTTTTTTCAGCTTCCAACTTTTTACGCAGAGCTTTCTCAGCTTTCTTGGATACGGCTTTACTGTTCCTTTTTTTAAGGTCTAAATACACCTTTATAAATGCCTTGCATCTTATTTTTACGTAAAAATTTACCACTACATCGAACAGTTTTTTTGAATAATCTGCACTTAATTTCTCGTGTATTACATTACTCCAGTAGTCTTGAACTAGATGATTTGAAAATATTTTGTTACCCAGAACCGCTTTTATGTCCACTCCTTGAAGTTTAGCTAAATTTGTGTGCGTTAAGAAAACTCGACTGACAAGTTCCATAGCTCTAAAATAAAGATATACATTGTCAGAAATCTTGAACAATCCACCTCGATTCTGTGTATCAATCCATTCTCTGGTGTACTCTAGAAAGTTTTTGGCATATCCTGAACCTGCTACTTCCCAGGAAGCAAGAAATTTACAAAATACTTCTGCTGTTTGATTTTTTTGTTTTCTGAACTTTTTCAGGAGGGCGAATGGAATATAGCCTCCGACGTATCTCAGCACTTTTTCCTCTTCTTTGTCTAGTGAATTTTGAGTTAGTGGTTCATGTATCTCTGGTGCATCCTTCTTGTTTCTAGCCTCTATGACACGTTGAAAAACAGACAATAATAAGTACTGAAAGACAGTGTATACATGTTTGCCCTTAGAGTCTATTCCTTGCGACTGGAGTAGCTCCTCCCACTTCGTGCACAATGTTCCCCTTAGCTTATGATACTGAACCCAAGTGTTCATATAAACTTCCTCCTTCAATAGATTGCCGTCCTTTGTATCCAAAATCAGCCACAGTGCAGAAACAGCCGATGTAAAATATTCCTGTACATGCTGTTCGTTGATGCACATCAGCAACTGTGTGATGAGGAGCAGTGCTTGCACAGTTGTGGAATTTCCCAGATTGAACATTGGATGATTTTGCATTGATGTAAGAGACTGTGAGAAGTAAGAGGTTGCATTCTGTACGGCATCATCCCTTGTGTACAAGGCCTCGGGTCTCTTTGTAGCTGCGGGTGTCTTTGTTGCTGTGGGTGGAAAAAAAAGGCCAAGAAAATTAAATGCATTTGTCTAACTGACTATAAACAATGGAAAAGCTCTATCATCAAAATTTTTACCATTGACTGCCGGCTGCCCAAGAATGTCAGATGTACATTTAGGCTCGTGCATTGCTTTTCTTTTAAAGAAACACACTCATGCATACTCCAACACTTACCAGTCTTTTTGGTTTCTTTCTTCTTGCTCTTGCTCTTCGCTTTTCCCCCTTTTCCTTTGGCTTTAGCAGAAACAGCCTCAGATGTAGACGATGAAGCTGTACGAAAAGACGGGCAAGAGAACACATAAGACATACTTCAAATTTCCATCGACCATGTTGAAAAATCCTCTGTATGAAGTAAAACTAGGGGCCTAATGATATAAATCCTCAAACAAAAACATTCTCTTTCAAGTTTCATTACACCATTACGGTACTCAACATATTCCCTTTTTTTCAGTTTGCCTATTTTCTTGTCATGCTTGTCCTGGCTCCTTGTCCTGATCCCAAAACAATTCTGTTATAAACATGTCTTCCGTTTTCCTTGCTCCATGGTCTTACCGATTGTCAGTATTTTTTTCAGAATTCAGTAGAATGGCGATTGCATTTTCATAGTCAAGCAGAATTTGTTGGGGATTGTCAAAAGAAAAAGGGATTGTTCAGTTGGAAATTCGTTCAGTTCAGATTCAGGTATTTATTTTGGAAGTGGAAAAACTTTCCCTCAACATGGAAAATAAGTACCAGCACAATTAAGTTCGTGTGTCATGTGTGTGTGTGGTAAGCTGAGGAAAGTATATACTTAATTGGAAATTAAAAAGCTGCAATAATCACCTTCAACAGAATTGTTTAGAGTGGACGAAGATGAAGAACATGGTTTGCAGTTGTCACATAACCATTCGCCGTTTGGGATTGTTGCCGCGGTGAGGCCAACGCATTCATAATGGTACCATTCAACGCTGCAACTTTCACCGTCGCACGCGATCATTTCCTTCGTCGGAACTCTTTTACAGACACAAAACTCGCGGCCATCATCTTCGTCCATGTCATCCACATCATCAGGCATTATATTAACGTCGTATTCGCCCTCAGACAGATCGGAAAAATCGCTAAAATCATCAAAATTGAAGTCACCAAACACGAAATCTTGCGGACCGTAAGCAGCCATTTTGGAAGACGACGCTGTTTTTGCGCATGCGTGTTATGACGTCATTCTACCCATCATGCCAAGCGACTCGCTGGACCGCGCGAAAATTGAATTAGTGAAGTGTTGACATAGCTGGTCTTATTGTGCGACCCCCACTAGTTTTACGACCGCGGCGACCATCATTGTTCCTTTGAACTCAATGTGTGCTCACTCCTTCCGTTTTCCTTGCTCCATGCTATAAGGGAACGAACTTACAAACTAAAAGAAGAAACGACTCTACAACAACCCACAAGTACTCTTACGTTTTTTTTTACTCACCTATGGCATGTATGGTGTCTCTGTTGACATTATGTTGAATACGAGTAGTCCGAGTAACTTGGACCCAACTTGTCGCCTTTTTAACATTCGGACATGGTCTGGCGATAGTGGGGTCCTAGCCCCATAAATGTGGCCTATTTACTGGACTACCTCCGTAATTTACATACATGTCGGCATGTAGGCCAGACTTCCACGTGTACAAAAACATGTCGCACTTTGTCAAATTTTGATTTTCACTTTTAGGCTTAGTTTGTAGGGTTTTTTTTGCGTTAGAAGCATACTCACCATGCTCACCCTCTTTATAGGCTAATCAGAAAGTGCTGCCTTTTTCAGATGTCTAATTTTTGTGAAATTTCATGTTGAAATTTTGATACGCAAACGTGTAAAAATGAATCTGGAAATTTCACGAAAAATATACATCTGAAAATGGCAGCACTTTCTGATTAGCCTATAAAGAGGGTGAGTATGTTTTTAAAGCAAAAAAACCTACAAACTAAGCCTTAATGTGAAAATCAAAATTTGGCAAAGTCGACACGATTTTTGTACATGTGGACGTGTGGCCTACATGTATGTTTACGGAGGCAGTCCAGTAAATTGGCCACATTTATGGGGCTATATGCCGAGCAACACAATTCTGTCATTGACCCAAAAACCCAACATTGCCCAAAAAACCATCAGATTTCACCCTCAAAATGGCCTCCAAATTACTAGATACGCCACCTGTGGTACAAGTAGACATCGATAATTAAGATGGTTGTATTGAAGTTTACTTACGATCCGGATGGAAAGTGAAATTTCCCGTTCAATTCCGAGAGCTCCCCTCGCTTTTTTTGTGAACACGTTAAATTTCCGATTCATGTTAATGTTTGAACGACGCGATGTGGTCTTCATTCCCAGTGTACATTCGATGGTTCCCGTATCCTGAGTGCGATTCCGTTACCAAGCGCGTGCAATGCATCGATTATGATAATGAGTAGAATTGAAATAAATTCATGAACATGGGAAATACACAGACAAGAGAGATCAAGTTCTGTGAATATAAGCTTGCAAAGATCGTCTTTCTCCATTGATGTTTTCTTAGCATTTTTATGATGTCTATTCTGTCCGGCCTGCATGCAAAGCACTGTACTGCAGTGTGCATGCACGGCGTGCGACTATTGCATCGCATTTCCATCATGCCTTCTTTGGCCCTTAGTGCGCGGCGCAGCGGGAGCCAGTCACTGCTGCATCGAACACGGTCCACGGTCCAGTGGATATTTCGAGCCCTGGTTAATCCTGTTATTTAGCTTTGTTTTGGTTAGCTTTATTTTGAATTGGTTTCTATTTTTATACTTTTGATGACAGATCAGATTGCGTTTGAAGCTCAGGCCTTCCTATGAACTAAGGCTGCATACAAGTCCCTACAATCCCGGCCAAAATGGTTGGGACACTTCCTGAGCCTGCCACAGTCACCCACTCCCCTGCTCAATGTTGTTTTCACCGGCTGATGGAGCACACACTGCGCAAAGAGAGACAACATTGAACTTGGGCCAGGGGGTTGGGGGCCCAGTGAGATTTGGCCAGGATTGTAGCTGTGCTAGTCCAGGTCCTGTTCTGATGTAGCAGCCGTCTCAGCCCATGACTCCGTTCAGGTTTGGTACATGTAACTCAGCCCCATCATGTGTATGTACTTTCTTCAAAGCAGGTAAGTCTTGTTTTGAATTTCTTTTGTTCCTATTCCGTGGGAGATCACCGTGTCCCTTTTTCATGTAGCAACAGGTCTGCTGCAAGTGATGCCATCAGTTCCTACATGTAGCTGAAAACAATACAGGATCCCATTTGGCCCCTACGTGAGAAGTAGTAACCTTAGAATAGAAAACAATACTTCGTCAAAGTGGGATTATCACCTCAAAGGAACATAAACTATTGGTGGTTAATGTTTCTATTTACATGACTGTCACAAATGATGTACATGTAGTCCTAAAAAAATACTCTGTGTGTGGAATGTAAAAGATATTTAACCGGAGTGCTGGTTTCGATACATGTACATTGTGAAAGCTAGAACTGAAAGGATGCATGATCAACCCCAATTTTTTTTTCAGGATTGGGGCAGTTGGTGTCGCATACTGCTTGGCTTGTTTTTTGAGAATGCAATGATTAAAATATCAATTTAATTAAAATAACCCATAATCATGTCCCTGCAGTTTTAAAGCGAACAAAGGGTTCAAGATTTTGGGAGAATGCTTAGTTGAGAGAGTGTATCTTTCCATGTGAACTTTAGAAATTGCTGTACTCGGCAGCAATGGTTGCTGGATATTATACATGTAAGCATCTCTTAGAACTATTGAGGCCCTATAGCAGGCTTTTGTGGTTGGATTCTTTCTGTAGTTAAAGTATCCACATGGAAATGTCTACTGAATATACTGATTTAGATATGAAAGATTTAGTATTCTCGTACAGCCATCCTTCTTTTCTGAGGTGTAAAACTGTTAAACACAGTCTACCTTCATAGCAAGTGTACTAGTCTGTTTGCTGTGTCTGTGAGACATAGGCCTATTTACTCCAATTTTGTCATGTTTGTGCAAGTATGGCCAATAAACTTACAAAAACTTACACAAGTGTATATATGTTGTATTAATGAACAATTTTCATTATTATCTATTACTTGATAATGTATGTTATCAGTCATCCAGTAGTAGTAGATGATTTTTCTTAATTGAATCAAATACTGGAACTTACTTAATTTTGCAACTGTGCAACTGTGCGGGATTCCTAGCCGTCTCTCACGTGACCAGTCCACCGGGTCACCAGTTGCCTGACGAAGTCCGATGGTTTCGGACGCAACGTCGCACAGTTGCAAAATTAAGTAAGTTCCAGTATTTGATTCAATTAAGAAAAATCATCTACTACTACTGGATGACTGATAACATACATTATCATGTTAAGAACAATTTCGGGCAGGATTGCCTACAACATGTACGATCATTTGAGAAGACGGCTAGGAAAATCGCGAATTACCGCAACCATTTGAGATTCAGTCTACGTTGCCTCCATGAACACGTGACACCCCGGAGTATCAAACTCAAAAGCAGCATTACAGGACACAAAGCAGAAAACATTCTGAGAAATGCGGAAAGAAAACTACTCAATGAGAGAATTCGACAGGTTAATTTCAACATTGACGTACTAAAACAGAAACACGAACAGCTTTCACAGAAATTATCGTCAACGCTGTCACGTGATACATTCGATCGAGTAACCGAGTTCACCAGACATGCGCAGTTAACCCAACACGAGAAAACCAAAAGACGCCATCTTGAAAAATTCAAGTCCTTGAAAACCTCGCGAGCGGAACTGGACAAAAACTGGCGGGATTCTGGAAGTTTTACCACCAATGCCAACGCAAAGAAGTGGGTCAAGAATCTCTCCGACCGTACCCTCTCACGGAATGAGTTGTCAGTCCTTGCAAAAGGATTAAACTACGCTGTTGTGCCGGAAAAACCGCCCATAGCTGAATTCATCACCGCTACGGAAACGGCCATTTCCCAAGCGCGTTTGAACCAATCCGAGGCGGAAGTACTACGCCACCAGGTATGCACCACGATATGTAACACCAAGCTGCCCTCCCCGAATATCACCAAGGAGGAAAATAAGGCTCTGTCTGATCTATCCAAGGACAAGGATATAGTCATCGTCCCTGCCGATAAGGGCAAGTGTGTGGTGGTACTGAATAAGCAAGACTACGATGAAAAGTGCAAGGATCTACTGAAAGACAAGAACATTTACAAACCTGTGGGATGTAACCCAACCAGCGGCTACAGAAAGAAGGTGACTGCTTTTACCACTAAACTTTATACGGAAGGGACTATAACAGTGGATCTCAAGAGAAAAATAGACCCTCCCACTGAACCCTGTATCCCAGCATTCTATGGGTTACCTAAGATCCATAAGCCGGATCCGATACCAGTGCGGCCGATTGTAAGCAGTATTGGATCGGTGACCTACAATCTCGCTAAATACGCAGCCCAAATACTAAGCCCTCTAGTGGGTCAGTCCCCACACCATATCAAAAACACCAAAGAATTCGCCAATCAGATCAAAGACATCTGTCTAAAGGACGATGAGACAATAACATCTTTCGACGTCAAAGCATTGTTCACGTGTATTCCACCTGACATTGCGATCAAAGCGGTCCAGGAATTTCTTCAGAAAGACACTACCCTGAAGGAACGTACAGCATTGAGCGTCGAGCAACTCATTGAATTGGTGGACATTTGTCTGAAGACTACATATTTCTCATACACTGGAAAATTCTACAAACAACAACATGGCTGTGCAATGGGTTCTCCAGTTTCTCCAATCGTAGTCAACCTTTGCATGGAAATCTTCGAACAAAGAGCACTCAACACCTACAAAGGAAAAACACCTAGACTATGGTTAAGATACGTGGACGACACTTTTGTCATCATCGAACACAACGAACAGGTGCCTTTCTTTGAACACATCAACAACATTGATGAACACATCAAGTTCACTCAGGAGCCCTGCAAGGAGAACAAACTTGCTTTCCTAGATTGCCTGGTCACCCGCAATAGCGATGGTACTCTCTCTTCTGACATATACAGAAAACCCACACACACAGACCAGTACCTGCAGTTTGATTCTCACCACCCCCTGGTTCATAAACTAGGGGTCATCAGAACACTGCAATATAGGGCAGACACCATCATAAGTGACGAGGACCAGATCCCCAAGGAGAAGGACCACATCCAAACTTCACTCCATCAATGTGGATACCCGAACTGGGCTTTCCACAAAGTCAACAAGAACAAACACCAACGTAAAGACAAAGGCGGGGTAAAGCCAGTTAAAGCCCGGGTCACCATCCCCTACATTGCCGGACTGTCTGAACGGATCAAGAACTCTTTCAAGTCACGTGGCATTGCCACTTGCTTCAAACCGTGCAACACCTTACGGGGGAAAGTGGTTCGAGTGAAGGACAGACAGCCCAAGGATACACGTTCCAACGTGGTATACGGGATCATCTGCGGGGATAAAGACTGCTCGGAGTCTTACGTTGGGGAAACCAAACAATCCCTAAAATCCAGGACCTACCAACATCGGCGGCCTAGCACAAACGAGGCACAAAACTCTGCTGTCTTCTTACACCTACGTGACTCTGGTCACACTCTCAGAAATGAGGATGTTGTGATCCTTGATAAGGAAGAGCAGTGGCACAAAAGAGGCATCAAGGAAGCCATCTGGGAAAGGGTTGAACAACCAACACTCAACAAAAGAGGGGGGCTACGCTTCAACCTTTCACATGCATGGGACCGGGCCATTCAAGGGATTCCTAGCCGTCTCTCACGTGACCAGTCCACCGGGTCACCAGTTGCCTGACGAAGTCCGATGGTTTCGGACGCAACGTCGCACAGTTGCAAAATTAAGTAAGTTCCAGTATTTGATTCAATTAAGAAAAATCATTTTCTATTACTGTTTTAAAATTAATAAACAAAATTATAAAAGGGAAAAAACTTTCAAAGAGTTGAACTTTCCTGAGCAAACACATGTCTAAGAAAAGCTTACAAACATACCATACAAGTAACAAGCAGCAGGCCTACCTATCTTATCTTTGGATGCATTATGCTTTGCGGTAGCTTGCTTGGACATTGAACTTGAAGGCCCTGGCTGTTCCTCTTGAGAGTAGTCCAAATCATCATGGACCTTGTCATGGAAATGTTTCTTTTTACAAATGTATGCTGCCTGTAGCCTCTACCTTCCTCTCCATCGCCAGAGTTTTCTTCATCCAAGAATGATTTTTCTTTTGCTTTTAGAATCTCTATCTTGTACAACTTTTTCTTTGATCGGCTACTTACTTCTTTCTTCAGATCTGAAGTAATCTGTTGAGCCTCTTCCAAAGCCCATTTTAATTTTCCTTAGAGTCTTACTTTTCTGCTTAGCACTGCCAGACGTCAGTCAAATACTCCATGCAGTCACCAAAATGATATAAACTTTCACCTAAAATGAAATTGGGATGGAACTCCAAATCACTTTTATTATCTGAATCAAGATCGTCCTTACCGTGGCTCTCTTCTTGAGGGGCAGGTTTAGGGACCAGCATGGAATACACCACCAGTGCTGAGAAACTCCTACAATAAAGTTTACAATTCCTGATACAGAATAAAATTCCTAATGCCCTGCACACTTCACCCATGAATGCTGGCTTGTCACGCAGGACATAACTGCCATCATGCTCCTTATCAAACAGTCCGTGTAGGACTTCCTTAATATGGGAAATCCCGAGAAGCTCACGCCTTTGGCCACCTAAGTTGCTTACATCCTCTTCAAAAAATTCAACACAGAGTGGAATGTTGGATATGAACTCATCACCCCTCACTTCTGCAAGTAAATGTAGATCATTCATTACAGATGTTCTGCAGATAAAGACTTAGTAGTGTTTCCTTCCATGTCATCAGCTGTAACTGCCCCAGTTGGATGACTATGGACTTCATGAATGTTCATGAACTGATCATGACCGTTCACTGACAGTAGTACTGTACATGAACAGTCATCGAACAGTTTGTGAATATCAGTGAACAACAGGAGCAACAGTAATTTTGATGAAATTAATTCATTAAATGTCAATTTAATAAATAAGGACACATTTCATGAACAGTTCTTGAACAATACAATGTACTCGGATGCAGTTCATGGGTACTTCATGAATAAAACCACGTCTTATGAGTTTAGTTATGATATTTCTTGGGAAAATTGACTACACGTCATTTATAGGGAGCATATGGTGTCAGGAAAACAAAAGAAATTAATGTTTAGATTTCCAAACCATTCAGAAAACACATACCTACATGTACATTTTAAAATCTTGCCGGAAAACCTCAAGTGCATTAATTCTGCCTTGGGGCAGGCTTAAAAAATGACTGTTCACGAAGTCAGCGAAGATTCGCGAACTAATTGTGATCCCAAGTTAAGAGTAAACATCAAGCTCTCCAGGTTCATTTGCATTGCATGACAATGCGTCTTTGTTATGCTAAAACTATGCTAATGTGCCACAGCCGCTGCGTTCGCGAAGTGCGCGAACCTATTGTACGCGGAGTTCTTATCAGAACTTAAAACTACTAAGCGAAAGTACCACTACTTAGCAAAAGTACATCATCTGAGTGATGGTAGTTATTACTAGTTGTTACCGCAAATCAAAATGATCAAAAAAAAATTACAAACATGAAGTTGTCTACCAAATATGCTGTATTATATGTGACTAAAAATAAAAAGATTAAAAAATAAAATAAAGATTTCTAACCCTAAGTTGGCTAATAATATACTAAAAATCTAAAAGAAAATTACTTTTAGCACTATTTCTACTGCCCCAGGAGTGAAGATTTGCTAACTAAAAATGTGACATTCTCTAATGATTCAGTTGGATTGGTTTTAGAAATAGGCATGTGCCTATATGTTTGTGCCTATTGTTCAATTGAGCAGTTTTCAAATACCAAGTTGGCTAATAATACATGTATACTGAAAATGTTAAATAAAATACTATTAAATGTCTCCATTTGAATGTATTTTTCTTTACAGTTAATACTTAATACTTAGGCAGTTCAAGGGTATTTCCGATGAATCTGGTCGCCTTGCACTATCAACTCATACATGTAAGTTGATATTTCCTGAAGAGACAACATGGTGGTGTTGATGTCCGAAGTCGTTCCCATGTTTCTGTTGCGACCTCTTCTTCCATAATAAAGTCGGCCTACTTTGATGGAGTCACCTTCCTTCTCAAGACCGATGATGTCAACTTGAATTGTGTCCTGTGAAGGTTGCTGGATCTGTAAAACAGAAATACGAACACATCGAGTTTGCAAAATGCAAGTATTGTTATTGTCTTCTTGGTAAATGATGTAAATAGGTTGGCGAAATTGGGTACTGAGTTGTGATTGGGTAATAAATAGGCTTTATGAAGAAGAGCTTGGCATGTCATTGTGATATATCACTGCTTTGTGTGGAGCTCTAGAAACACCATGCAATTATCTATTTTTGGATGACATTCAACAGGCAAGGTATTGGAATGTGGAGAAACATTATTTAAGGATGACAATGTAACATTCTGATGTAATTTGTGGTAAAAGAAGAATGTCTAGTGTTCACTAATTTATGTTAGGATGACAAGATTTTGATAGCAGAATGTCGACATCATGAGAATTTATGTCAGGATGACGACGTTTTGACTTGCATATTACATGTACATGTATGTCGGGATATAGAAATTGCACTTTTAGGATGTTGTCATCCTGATGTACATGTATATGAACATTGAAAGTTGACATCTTGATTGTAAGATGCCATCATCACAAGATGATGGGTGTAAGTTAGGGGTGTGAGTGACCACTGATAAAAATAGCTGAAAACAGCTGAGAAAGATGTAAAAAGCTGAATTTTGGAAATGTCCTATACTTTTGAATACATCAAGTGAGAGAAAAAAGCTGACATCCAAAAAAAAAAAAAGTGAAATCAGCTTTAAACTAAAGCTGAGATTTCACACTCCTAGTAAGTGTAGATATGATTAATTATGTACATGTCAAACTTACCAAAACGTCTGTGTGGTTGGTTGTGTTCAGGGCTAATGCTTTGATGTAGTAGTTTTTTTTAGGGGGGGCCCTGACTTGGGTGAGGCTGCCGGTGTCTCCCATTTTGATCGGGCTGTGTGTGTTTCGGTGCCACAAGGCAACGTGCATGGTTCCTGTCGAGTCTTTCATCGTTATGTTTCGGACTGTACCTTGTGGATACGATTTTGGAACTTCATCCTGAAAGAAAGGAGCAATGAGAAGTTATTTTGGTTGAGTATATAACAACATGAGATTGCCAAATGTGACATTGCAATTTGGTTTTTGCTGGATCATATTTGGCAACAGGGCTTGTTGAGGGACGGCCACTTCTGTAGGAGAACTGCAATTGCGTATTTTACGCAATCAAGCACGCATTGTGCAGTATTGAGAATGTTCCAAACACACATGTTTGTTGGTCGAAATGTGTTCGAAATACGACGAAGCCGATGCGTGTTATGCAAGTTGACACTCGGAATACCGATGCACGTGGATGGTCTGTAGGAAATGACGTCATATGAACGAAATCTATTGGGCGATCATTAAGTGGGGAATAAGCCCAGTACACTAGTAATTATCTTACCTGGATAGCAACACCTTGCACTGTCACCGACTGGCCGCTTTCCTCCTTGATCTGGTCAAAAGCCGTTGGCAGTGCTTGTGGCGGATCTACAAGCATTCCGGCTGCTTGTAGGATTGTGTCCAGGATGGTCAGAGGTGTAGATGGCGTTACCTTTGTTTTAGCGTTAATCAGTATTAAACCGCCTTCTGGCCTTTTGTATAGTTTCTTAAGAGAACAGCTTTCCCAGCTTGAAACTTGGAGTACAGCTCTTTACTGTAGATATAGCCTTTGATGACTCCTGTTTCGTCAGCGAACCTGACTTCGAGTCGTTCTTCCTTCTCTTTGGTTTTGACGACATGGAGCCTTATTGGTTTCAGGTATGGGATGGCTTGCTTCCATTCAAGATTTTGTTGACTGTCTCCATGATCTGCATATAAAGGAATTTTGAAAAATTGCTCAGGACAATTCTACGCAAACTATGAGGGGAAATTATAAATGAATATATGCAGGTAAAATATTGTGATACATGTATCTTTCAGCATGTATCTGTAATGGGCGCCATAAAAGTTGTCTAAAAGAGAAATTAAATTTGAATTGGATTTTTTTATATCATGTTGCTACTTAAAGAATGATTAATATGTTAACTTAGTTATTGCACTTTCAGTTTAAGTTGATATGGACATCATAACAAAGGTAATTTTTGGCATATCCTGTTGATGTAATGCGAGTATCCGGTTTTCTTTTTGTTCTGAGTGCCATGATAATCTAATTTTATTAGCATAATACGAGATTTTAGGTTCCAGCATAATTTATTTCATCTTCAAAAACTAATCACAATATTATATTAAACTGAAGAGAACCATTTTTTTCTACGTCGCCGTCAGCATTCGGTGTGAAGCCTTAATCATTATTTAATTCGTGTTTTTACATTCAGTTTTTCCCTGCAATCGTGTTTTCTTCCACTAAATTTTCTACAGGTTAGTGCTTGCGCACTGTCTAGCCTTCCTAAAAAATATTAGGAAGTTGTCCCAATATCCGTTAATGTTTTTGATTAACTTCTGCATTGAAAAAATATCGCTATTTCACATGCCACTTTACCTTTCGCTGCCCGCGCTCGCGAACATTAATCTCTCAAATAGGCCTAAACCTCGATGTATTTTGAGCACGCATGTTCGCTGACTTCGCGTTATTATAATAAGACGTCCAAGTGCTGTGAATTATTCAGTATGAACATTAACATAACAAAGGCACAGGTTTCGTGACTACCTCATTAACTTGACCACGCATGGATGACTAGCTCCGTGAAGTTCGCGAACTGCTCTGCTATTAACGCCGGACAGATATTTGCGAACATTCGCGAACATTTCGTGAAGTCTTTATTGAAGCCTACCTTTAGTGGAAGGGGAAAAAGACTTGCTCATCAGTGTTCAGAAAAAAGAATTTCACTGACACTCTCCATTTGAATGTATTTTTCTTTACAGTTAATACTTAATACCTAGGCAGTTCAAGGGTATTTCCGATGAACTGGTCGCCTTGCACTATCAACTCATAAGTTGATATTTCCTGAAGAGACAACATGGTGGTGTTGATGTCCGAAGTCGTTCCCATGTTTCTGTTGTGACCTCTTCTTCCATAATAAAGTCGGCCACGTCATCATTGAACAGAGTTGATACTCTGATACGCCGGACAGATATTTGCGAACATTCGCGAACATTTCGTGAAGTCTTTATTGAAGCCTGCCTTAAGTGGAAGGGGAAAAAGACTTGCTCATCAGTGTCCAGAAAAAAGAATTTCACTGACACTCAGATCCTTGCTTGAGTGCCTACAATGTAACTCTTGCATTATTGAATGAAGTACTAAACCTCTAATCAGCCTCCTATGAGCTCCGTGCGCTACCAAAAGAGGGCGCCCTTTTACCTAGCAACGACGTCCCATGGGCAGTACATTTCGCTGGTTGACTCGCACCGTTCTTTGTTTGTGACGCCCGTACACCAGGGGATTTGTTCTATGTACACGCAGTGGCAACACACTCCCAACAGTACGTCCTTTGCCGGTGAGGGGGTACTTGTGAACGGAGTGGATAATAAATACTGCATGGAAATGTGGGTCAAGTTCAGTTCAGGTGATCGTGTGGTCATGTGTAACTCGATTGCACGTTCAGGAAATATAGGTACGTATAGGTCAGTGATGGTAAGGTCCACTCCAATAAATCCTGGCCATTTTGCTTCTATTTCCTCCGGAGTTATGCTCAGTGCATCTGTCGTAAGCACACAGCCAACCGCATTGTTGCACGAGAACAGGTGGCTTGCCACCCCAAAGTTGTGTTGGTGTTTGACTCTAATAGCAGAAGCTCTTAAACATTTGATCCTCTTGCCTTGAAGTTTGGTACAAAGCGGGACAAGACTTGCAGTTGGCGGTCTCTTGGTAGCTCCTGCCTGCCTCCTCCCACATTGTGCGGCCCATATTCTTGCAGAAGGCTTTCTGAATCAGGTAAAACAAATATCACATATAAATTGGCTAGAAATATGTAATTTGAGCACACAAATATGTAGTGTTGCGGTTCACAAAAAAGCCATATTTTTTATTTAAAAATGTTGGAGTAACGTGATATTTGATTTTATGAAGTTGAAATGTGTACCCGCCAAGTTTATGACTCCACACTTATTTTGTTCTAATATTGTAGACAGTTTGGGTAGGGGCCCAATTTCAAGATTGAAAGAAAACATGTTTTACCTGCACCAGTTTCTTGACTTCTGCAGCCTCCTTCTTGAGCTCCGCTGTACTTAACACCCTGTCAGCAACTAGCTGCAATAGCTCCCTCACGGTATCTGCCTGCAAACCCGCCCGTGGAAGAAGGGTGTACCTTGGCGATATCGGGAGTAGCAACATATTCCCCTCTTTTGAGCTCCTGACCCTTGAGATCTCCCAGTTCGTACAGCTCAATCATTTGAAGGAAGATTTTGTTTTCTTCGTCGTCCAAGAGAGCAAGAAAGAAAATCTCGCAAAGATTCTTTTCTTACTGAAATTAAAATCCACAAAATACATTTTCACTTTTTTTTTTATATATAAGCACAAATTACAAATTTTATTACACCATCATCGCTACTGTGTACATTATAAGTTCTTAAATGCAGGTATTTTAAAGGCGTTTCTTGGGAGGGGGCACCAGTTTGTGCATAACTGCCTCAATAATAATGTTTTCAACACTGAATGGAACTATTGGATGTATATGTAGTTTATTGGCTTTTTGTTAAATTACGATGGTACTTTGTCAAATAACAAATAACCTGAGTTCTTAATCTTGTGGACTTTAAGATCATCATTTTGATATTCATCTTGCATTTGTAGTACAGTATTTTGCTGCCTTGGTGTTCAGTGCCTTAGATGAAATTGCCACTTCAGCCTCTGAATAGATGGGATTGTTGTGTCCTCTGGTACTAATTTGTAAACTTGATCATGGAGATCACAGAATGACATTGCCTTGGCGAGATACTAAATTTGTCAACTGATGCTCTTGTCACTCAGTTTTTTGTGTAATTTCATGATGGAATTCAAATACGCGAACATGAGCAAAGGAACCGGGGAATTACACAAAGAATAGCCTAGATGTCTGAAAAAATGTTGAACTTCTTTTCTCTCGCTATAGTAAAGAGGGTGAGTCTGCTTCTAACTTAAGCATAAATACATGTAAGCTACAAACAAAGTTTAAATAATGAAAACCAATATTCAACAAAGTTCTACATTTTCTTGGGGTACAGCCTCTTTCCCTTGCTCATGTCAGTTGAATTCTAGCTTATTCCCTGGAACTTCCTCCTTGCAGGCTGCATGCCCTCCCAGACTTGCACAGGAACAGGTTTCTGCTGTACATCCTTCTCTCGTTACTCTCTCTCTCTCTCTTGCTTTTCTTCTTCGCTTTTCTCACTTCACTTTCACCCAGGACTGTTTTGAAGAAAACTATTGACTCATCAGTACATGTAGTGAACGATTTCTGCAGAGCTCTTGCTGCACATGAAGTCATAGTGGGAATGGGTGCTATTGATCAGCAAATTTCATCCCTTTTATAATGGCTTCAAATTGTGCTGTTTTACATAATATTGCAAAATTAGAGCTTACCTTGTAGTTTCCTGTTCCTTTTATAGTTCACTGGCATGTGTAATTATTCTTGCTAACAAAGATTCACTTTATTGATTAATGGTACTTACCTTCTGAACAATTGATGTGGCTTCAAAACAACACTGATCTTTACAGTGTAGGGTAGTACCCTATGACCCTGAGTGCCCTGAAATCAGACACCCCCACACCAGACATTACCCCACAAGTCTAATTCCAAGAGCCCTTCCTTAATGTGTGTGCAAGGACACACAGTGAAAAAGCAGCCAAAGATACATGTAGAACACAGCACTATTACTGGGGGGAGGGGGGGGGGGGCCAGAGACAATGATTTTTGTAAAATTGCCTCAAGGAATTTGGTCAGTGGAACACATGTGGATACAACATGTTCAAAGGAAAAGAAAATCAATAATAATAAGGCCAAAAAAAATACTTCTGCTTCTGATTACATGGGATTTGAAAATAGGGTAGGGAAATAAATTGTTTTGGCCATTTTTGTGTGTGTATGATTATATGGAGGTGTCTGGGTGTAGTCAAGGGTAAAAGGTAGAAATTGATGGTTTTGGGTGTTTTTTCCTCATTTTTCCCATAAAAAAATTAGGGTAGGGGCTCTCAGAATAGGGTAGGTTGGGAAACCGGAAGCAGAACTATTAATTTTTTTGGCCTAATAGAAAGGTAATTTGTGGGGCAAAACCCTCGTTTTTCATTACTTTCAGCTAATTTTATATGCGTAGATTCAAAATTTAAATTTTGTTAGGAATGTCACCTCCAGTGTTAGTATATGGGGTTACAATATCAATGTGCATTTCATTGTAAAATATGAAATACCAGGTTGCAACTTGTGCATGAGGCGTTCAAAGCATAGCAAATACGGACAATAATGAATAACTCTTTACACTTTTTTCCAAATCTGAATGACATCTAGATGCATAAGTAATTACTGCTATTCAACTGGCTGTGAATGCCTCGTTTGAAATATTATAAGAACCACAATTTCATGTATTTGTCCCAGTCCCACTTCAAAGCGAATGGTTCAATTTCTTCTTCATTGTCATGCTTAACCATGAAAAGAGTGTACCCCTGATTTACCATGTCTTCATCTTCTTGACCAATACCACCAAATCCGTTATCTGATAACACTCTATAAGGACAGTTCCTTTGAACCACTTCCTAACTACTTTGCCTGATGTTTCAATTTCATTTCTATGATTAATTCTTGATTGTAAAGAAGTGGATTAAAATCAGAAGTAAATCCTTCATAAATGTATATCTAAATTGCAACTGTATCGAAAAAAGCAGAAAAAGCACTGCGTTAAGACCTACAAAATGTGAATGTTGACTCCTGAATCAAAATACATGCATTTGGCATAAAGAATTAAGGACACCAAAAGTATTGTTCACATAATGAAAGCATACACTGTAGATAAACAGTGAAAATGTACTGTTTTCACGTACATGTATCTCTCTTGTATAGCCGACTACAGCTATAGACTTGCGTTGTCATATGGTTGTGAAGAAAATTGTCCCATGGTACAATGTACGCTTCCTTTAAGTCTTTATTTACAGTTCAATCAAGTAGAATCTATTGCAGAAATGAGGTTTTGATGTACAGATGTAGGATGGAAGTAATGAAGTACGGAAGTACGGAAGAAAGTACGGTAGGATCGAAGTGCGGTAGGAAGGAAGGTTGCTGAAAAACAACAAAATATAAGGGGAAATTACAAACTAATACAAATGGTAGAATAAAGTAAATTGGGTACACAAAAAGGAAATAAACAATTAGATATTAAACTAGTAATAATTAAACTATAAGATAAATGAAGAAAAACTACGTACTTACTACATTTGTACTCTGGGGGTGTTGCCAAAATCGGGTGTCTAACTGTGTGTAAACTAACTGTGTGTAAAACTAATGGTGTATAAAAACAGGTGTTGTACATTGTAGGTTTGGACGCTAGAAACAGAATGATGGGAAAATGGGCTAAAACTATGGTCAATGCACAGACAGTATCCTAACAGGGTGAATTATGGTGCCTTAGGGAATGTTTTGGTCTGGATTTGGGGGAGGTTGCTATGGGGACCTCCACCCAGGCCTGGCAGAATTGGGCAAAACAAGGTCGTACAGGGATCGGGGACTGTGGTCAAGGGATCTTACACTAAATTGTACATCTACATTGTACATGTACATGATCTAATCTAAGCTAGATAATGAGGATAAAATATTTTCTAAACCTAGAGATGATTAAATGGTATTAATTAAAGACAAAATAATAAGAAAAGGTAAATAATACACAACGTCCGCTACACTCTTGATTGCCTACAAATGTAGATGAAATTCAGGCATCTAGCTTGGAAGTCTGCATGCATCTGATTCAGAATCTAAAAGCATACATGTGCATTTTAAGAAATAAAAAGGGAGGATTAATGTTTAAGTACGTTTTATGCATGTATTTGTAACTGAAGATTATCAAAGAGTGCCCATGTTCCTTTTTATTATGGTATTGCATACAGTTTTTCTTAATAAACTAGACAGATTTCAAAGTTTTGACGCACTTATTGTAAAAAGTAGCTCCAATGAAATTTCTCTTGAGCACACCTGTATTATGTCTACAACGTACATCAAAAATGCTTCTGAAACCAAGTGCCTGAGTTCTTTTCACTAGATTATTGCATACAGTTTTTCTTCATACAGATTTGGAAGTTTTGATGCACTTGTAAAAAGTATCTGCAATGAAAATTTATCTTGAGCACACATGTACATAATGCTTCTAAAATACATACATGTACATATGTACATGTACTTGGATCATAAACAATATACATGTTCATGTACATCCTGGACTTTGGTAATTATGCAATATGTCTTAAATATGGCACTGAAGTTTGGCACTTCAACCTATTCCGTCTCTCGTAAATAACCTCACCTAATGACTGTAATACCAAGGTTTAAACTAGATTTAATAGATTATTGAAAGTCACCGAAAATGAAAACAAATACAAACAAAATTTTGTAAATGTATATTTTTCTACTTCCTCGTAATTGATAATTGCTTCAATCTAATCATTAACGATATTGCATAAACACATTCCTTTGTGCCCATTTTGCCATGTAAACACTCATTTTCTTATTTGATCTCATACACAGCTTTTACATGTGACAGCTTTACATGTGTATTCTGGCCTCTGGGAGTGTGGGACGCCCCCTATCCAGTTAGATAACCAGGCAGTCACAAGGAGTAGGTTCGACTTGAAATTTATTCCTTGACATACACATGGTAAACTGTAAACATAATCAAATGAGGAAAATTACAATAAAAAAAGGCGCAAAGGACAAAATAATATAATGATTGACATGGATAATATGAAATAATTTCCCATTACAAACAAAATATGACGACAAGCTAGCAGGTAGATGACAGAGTAACAGACCAGAATGGATAAAATCTACATGTATGTAAGTGTGACACATGAAGTACACAAAAATCGCTTCATCCTCAATGACAATAACATTACACTTCTGAAAGGAATATGCAAAGACTTACAGAGCTGTTGTGTCTCCAAATACACACTGTACTGCCAACTTTTCAGAGGACAAGTCGCATATAGTGAATAACAACCTAGGGAGAATAAGCAACAAGCTACTTTAACAATCAAATCAAATGACCTACAATGCACAAGGACTTACAAAATCACTTCCCAAAAAATGAATAAGTAGGCAAATGTCACTTCATGTCAGAAATCCAAGCCAATTACATGAAAATGTATACAAAGGGGAATATGGCAAAGAGCTACTGCTTATATTATAAACAACATACGAGAACTTGATCTTACACCACACTATGGATTCAAGAAATTTCAAAATCAAACAATGAGAATTAATGCCTTCGCTACATGAGAGAATGGAATGAAAACAAACATGGCTGCCCCCAACAGAAATGAGAATTTCACAAAAATCAAGGATAAGTGACAATTGGAAAATCATAAGTTACATAAAGGATCAAGCAAATGCAAACAAGCTTACTGGTAATTATAATTAGAGCAGTGAACATATTAATTACCTTGCAAAGATAAAAAACAGGAGGGAAACTTGTACAAAAAATACAGACGTGTTTGGTCGGCTCGCGGCTGGCGCCCAGAACGCCCGAAACCTCAAGAGGGCGCTGTTGCTACCTAACGGTCACTCAGTTAACCAAACTGCAAACAGCACACTCCCCCCTGTGATGTGCGCAACATCACAAAATAACCAAATTATCAAGGATCATTCAACTACAAGGTAAGTACAAAGATAACAATACAACAACTTGACAAAATCTGTTAGAATACATGAAATATAGGCAATGAAAATGTGTAATGACAAAACCATCATTGGGGTGGACTACCCTCAGGTTGGAACTGGGCGTTATTCTGGCCCGCAAACAATAGACTTAACAGTTTACCGACACCCTTGAGACTCAACCTACATCACAAGTTCGGGTATGGGCGACGTAAGTTCTTCCTGTGGAAGGCAGGTGCACACTGACCAACTTCGTTGAGCCTTTGGATTTCATCATAACTGTGCCTCTTCTTTAGAGCGACTGATTTGAGTCTTCTCTTGTATCAAAATGGTCAGGAACAACTGTTGGCTGGCTGAGAATACGTTCTTAAAAGTCACAAACTTGCCTGGAGCTTCGACTTGGCTCAAAAACAGTGCTCTGGCGTCCCGTGTTGTCCAGAAGTCCCGTGTTGTGGACTGATATTCCAACTTTCTTGTGGAGTCCATCCAAGCAAGCATCGCCAACAATGACCCATCCTAGGTCCAATCGCTGTGCATATGGAGCGTTATCAGGTCCGTTGATTTGCTCTCTAACCTTGTGCGCTTGTAGCACATCTCTTCCGATGAGGAGGAGAATGGGAATCGCCGGATCGATTGGCTCTATCTCGTTGGCAATTCGTTGGAGATGTAGATGGTGTCGAGCAACTTCTGGTGATGGTATCTCCTCCAACTTGTCCGGAATCATAACGCACTCTCTCACGGAGGGCAACTTGATACATGTTCGACCATCTGTCGATTTGATCCACAGCTTAGTTGTGTCACGTCCTGTGACCTCGATTGAGCCAGCACACGTTTTCATTGCGTAGGTCGTGGGTGGAGAAGATATCCCAAGAAGGTCAAAGAGTTCACCTTTTGCTAGGGTGGTGTTGCTTTGGTCGTCAATTACTGCATATGCTGGAACGGTCTGCTCTTGCTGATCTTCTCTGTACACTTCCACCTTGCAAATCTTTGCACAGGACTTTCCACGAGGAAAGGAGCTGCACAGATCCGTGCATGCGTTGGTAATCTCAGTTGATGATCCTGCCTGAATGTCTGCGCCTTTGCTACCACTCTGTTCTTGAGATAGTCGTGGAGGTATGCGGATGTGCAGGGCGGTGACATGTCTATCACTGCCGCAGTCTTCACATTTGATGGGGTTTTTGCAGTTTCTGGCGACATGCTTCCAGGTCATACAACACTTGTAACACACCCCCAACTCTTTCAACAGCTGTTTGCGTTCCAGTAGGGGTTTCTTTCGGAAGAACCGGCACTCATGTAGTGGGTGTTGTGAGTTATGCAGAACACACATCTGCAAGTCTTCTTCTCTAGGGTTGGTAGCGTTGATGACTTCTGTCTTCCAAACACTGACTGGCTTGATAGACTTCACCTTGTCGCTAGTGACATTAGACTCCGATGCTGTACAGGGTCGACACACCAGAAAACTTGGGTCATTTCGCATCTTTGCTTCTGAATGAATGAAACCATGGAACACTTCAAAGGGTGGGAATAACCTGGCATTGGAACTCTTGTATTTTGATCCATGTTTCATCCACTTGTCTTGGAGTCCTGGTGGTAGCTTTTGAACTATGGGGTTAATGCCATGTGCGGAGTCTAAACTCGCTAGTCCAGGGTACTTCCCCGATTTCTTGAGGTGCAAAACTTCTAGGAGCAAGTGGTCAAGCTGGAGAAGTTTACTAGATTCCTTTGCTGAAAGCTTTGGAAACTCCTGTAGACGTGTCATGACATTCGATTCAATGGCCTCTGGGGAGCCATACGTATCATCCAGCAAACTCCAAATTTGCTTTAATGCCTCTGCAGGTTGGTCAATGTACACCGAGTACAGTGGTTCCACCAGTTTTCTTGAGTCGTTCCCCAACCACTTCATGACAAGATTCAGTTCTTGTGAAGGAGGTATGTTCAGTTCCTTAACTGAACTGACAATCGAAGCCTTCCAGGTTCTGTACATGGGTGTAGAATCGTTGAAGCCTCGAAGGCTCAAGGCTAACAACTCCTTTCTGAACATAATGTTTCCCATCTCAGACATTATGTTAACCGGTTGCTGTTGAAGGCGTTGGTTGGCACTGAAAGGAGAGGCCTGAGGGCTGGGATGGACTGGTTGACTCACAGGGGAGGGTGTCAAGTTGGAATCAACTGACTGACTGACAGGAGGCGATTGTGGGTTGAGATGGGCTGGCCGGTTGACAGGAGATGCTTGTAGGGTGGGATCAGCCGGCTGGATGACTGGAGATGGTTGTTGGTTTGGATGGACTGGCTGGTGGACAGCAGATGTTTCTGGCTTGAAACTGGATGGTTGACTGACAGGAAATGGCTGTGAGGTGGGATCGGCCAGCTGGATGGCAGGAGACGGTTGTGGGTTCGAGTGAGTAACGGCCAAAGAGCTTGAGGTGATGGGCACTACTGGGGGTGGCAGGGTGCGATTGATCTCCTCAGGGGGTGTATCAAAAAGGTTTGAACTTTGTAATGGTTGACCTGACCACCATGGATCGCTTAACAATGGCGGAGAAGCTGCTTGTTTGATTTCCGAGGTCGCATCATCAAGTGGATCGGCTTCTAAAGATTCATAGACCTGTTCTTCAGCTTCTGCCTCTGCAAGTGCAGTTTCTTGCTCGAAACGACACTTCTGTTGTTTCAACTTAAGCTCTGCCTGCTCAAGTTGTTCCATCTCAGCAAGTCTTTGCAAACGAACCTTCAATGCTGCTTTCTTGGCTGATGCTCTTGCTTTGGAAGAGGCCGTGCTTCCACATGAACTGATTGATGACATGTTATCAGCCGTGTTCGTGTCCAGTCGGCGAATTTGGAAATAGCTCTTTTACTATTCTGGCCTCTGGGAGTGTGGGACGCCCCCTATCCAGTTAGATAACCAGGCAGTCACAAGGAGTAGGTTCGACTTGAAATTTATTCCTTGACATACACATGGTAAACTGTAAACATAATCAAATGAGGAAAATTACAATAAAAAAAGGCGCAAAGGACAAAATAATATAATGATTGACATGGATAATATGAAATAATTTCCCATTACAAACAAAATATGACGACAAGCTAGCAGGTAGATGACAGAGTAACAGACCAGAATGGATAAAATCTACATGTATGTAAGTGTGACACATGAAGTACACAAAAATCGCTTCATCCTCAATGACAATAACATTACACTTCTGAAAGGAATATGCAAAGACTTACAGAGCTGTTGTGTCTCCAAATACACACTGTACTGCCAACTTTTCAGAGGACAAGTCGCATATAGTGAATAACAACCTAGGGAGAATAAGCAACAAGCTACTTTAACAATCAAATCAAATGACCTACAATGCACAAGGACTTACAAAATCACTTCCCAAAAAATGAATAAGTAGGCAAATGTCACTTCATGTCAGAAATCCAAGCCAATTACATGAAAATGTATACAAAGGGGAATATGGCAAAGAGCTACTGCTTATATTATAAACAACATACGAGAACTTGATCTTACACCACACTATGGATTCAAGAAATTTCAAAATCAAACAATGAGAATTAATGCCTTCGCTACATGAGAGAATGGAATGAAAACAAACATGGCTGCCCCCAACAGAAATGAGAATTTCACAAAAATCAAGGATAAGTGACAATTGGAAAATCATAAGTTACATAAAGGATCAAGCAAATGCAAACAAGCTTACTGGTAATTATAATTAGAGCAGTGAACATATTAATTACCTTGCAAAGATAAAAAACAGGAGGGAAACTTGTACAAAAAATACAGACGTGTTTGGTCGGCTCGCGGCTGGCGCCCAGAACGCCCGAAACCTCAAGAGGGCGCTGTTGCTACCTAACGGTCACTCAGTTAACCAAACTGCAAACAGCACAATGTGCATTTACTATTTCTTTCATTTTGTACTACATCATGTTTTGTTAGCCCTATTTTAGTAGCAGAAATGCTGATATTATTGACTGAAGCTACGATGGGATTTAAGTACATGTATTGAAATAAAAATATGAAAGAAACATAATGTTCCCCATGTCAATTCCTGAATTTTGGTTTTTGGTTAGCACATGTATAGCCTTATGCTGAGAGTAATTCCCTTTTTCCTTCAGTGAAGAGTGACCACTGTAAATTAAAATCAATGTGGCCACATTCCCTCATTTCAATCAGTATCTTTAATACATATGTACATGCATTGCGCTTTATCTTGAATATTTATTTTCTCTGCGGGAGAGTTGTGGTATCCAAAGGAAGTTCTTCTGGTCGACCTTCAAGTCTGCAATTGCCCCTCTTAGATGCTTTGATGCAAGTTGATGCCACTTGGAGTGTGAGCATGTTGTGCCCGAATTGCTCTACGGTAGGGTTATCATTGCATCCTCCAGCCCCACATTGCTTACTGAAGTACTCTTCGATGGGATCTTGCGAGAACTTCTGACTTTAGAGATGTGTCACGCCAGGTAGTTCCAGCAAAACCTTTGCCATCTCGACAAAGGAGTACACTGAATTTAAAAAATAATTAAATAAAGCAATTATTTATGTAGTTGAAATGTTATGTGTACTTTTAAGGGGAAAAAACTAAGATGCAGGGACTACATTACATTGTATTGACACACTTGCAAACATTTTAGCAGTAATTTTCTCCTGTGTCAACTTCATTTTTTATTTTTTTTAATATTTTTTTTGGAGAGAACATGGATGGGGGATGATTGTATCTTGTTTGACTTTCTCTGTAAAGGGGAGCAAAGTACATGTATTTGAGACACTCACCTGTGATCTTGAGGCCTTCGTGTGTTTCCCTGCTGAGACACATTTTCAGCTTGGCTGCTGGTTCTAACTCCTGGGATTCAGCCTCGTCGTTCCAATCCTTGAAAAAACCAAGAAAGTCCTTCTTGAGCCACTATTTAATATTTAAAGGTTGGGATCTCCTCTTACCTGCAATTAAGGCCAACCAAAAAAAATGGTGTGTTTATGGTAACTCGACCGACCTGGATTTTTTTCGGCCAAATTGCCGACCTCAAACTTTTTATTGCCATTTTGAAGGTTGATATTGATCATTTTTAATGAACAAATTTCAAAAATTTCAAGTACTTTTAATTATTTGCCACGAACATAGACCATTTTCAACACTAAAAACTGACCATGATTTGACACAAACATACCTGTGCAAGCGTGCAACTTTTCCTTGGATCAGCTGATTTCCTCTTTTTGTACTTGGACAAATCTGAATTTCCCCTTTTTTTGTGACTTCCCAGTTGCATGCCTGCTGTGTTAAATGTGCGAAAATCGCGACGATCTCAAAACTTGAATTCTCAAACTACCGGTACATGAGGTACGATTATTTTTGCACAAACGCATCGGGGTGAACTGGTGCGCCTGGCCGACGGACGGTAGGGTTCTCCCCACGAACAAACGTGCGTACTGCGAATCGGCCCGACAAAAATGCCGATCACATTTTTCAGCCCCCGATACGCACAAGATAATTATTATTCACGCCATTAAAATGCACAATATAATCGATACATACGCCATTATTTCATCTTGACATGCAAAATCTTGACAAAAATCCTGTTTTTCTGATGCATGTGTGATCAAAATGCACTCGATGACGGGTTCTGTCGACTGCCAGCTGACAGGCATGCAGCGCATACAGCATGGTACACTGGTTCCCTTCGCGTGCTAACGGAATCAATACTATAATAAAGGACCGGAACCAGTGACTACTGCCTAAACAAACGTCGTACCACGATGATGTTGTGCCGTCGGCCGAAGTTGGATCGTAAAAATACCAAACAAACATCGATGGGGAAAGAGAATTTCTAAGAAAATTAATTCACAGAATGTGATCTTTATTTTCTGTGTATGTGTTTTCCATTAAAATGACGAGATTGCAAAGCTCGAACTCGTGGCGTAACATCATACATGTAGCGTGTTTCTGCAGTAGTGCAAGATTTTCGGCCACGTGGGATGGGCCGTACACAGTGCAGTAATGCACACTGATACTAGGCCGTGAGCACGGCGCGATGTACGTCCGGCCAGACTGAATGTCGGCGGCGGCAGGGGCCGTGATGTATGTTAAGCATATAGTGGAATCACCCACCTCAAAAATATTTTTTATTAGGTGAGGCAAGTTTTAATCACTTTTGATGGCCAGTCTTGATAATTTTCATGGCGCAAATGGAAATAATCCAGGCACAAAATAAACATGATTCCTTGCTCTATGATGCTCCATTAATCAGCACCCCAAAAAAATTGGCGAAATAATTTTTCCGACCTATTGACGCTATTTTGAAAGGCCTGTAATCGGAAGCAAAAGGATTTTTTTCTTGACCTTAATTTCTTAATTTGAAACTTATTTGTAAATGTAATTTTGATTTTTTTTCTTTAATTACAAAAATAGGGGCCTACAAGATCTCTCAAAAATTTTCGGGGCCCTGAAAAAGCGGGCCCCGAACCCCACGCCATGGCTTCGCAGGTTGTTGAATCACAGCAAAACTTCCCCCACAGGTTTGAAAAAATCCTGGGGAGAACCCTGGGACGGTACGAATTAATTTGGAATGAAATGTAGTATCTTGAATGCTTGAATAAAGTTTTTATACAAATATTTTGCAAAAGAACACGCATGAGCCTGCAGAACTGAAATAAAAAAAAAATTTCAAAATAAAATTATTTCCCTACCTACCTACCTGGATTTTTTTCAGACCGTTACCGTAAACACACCATTTTATTTTTTTTGGCCTAATGGAAATTTCAATCTCTGTTACATACAATTCATTTGTTAGATGTTGTATTTTTTTCAATTTGAAATGAATTACTAACAATTAACAATAAATATTTTGATTAAAGAAAACAAAAATACCTTGTTGAAAAGGTTAAGTTTGCAGAGCACACACTTATTTTATTGACTACAAAGTTTTCTGTTTGAAAAACATGTCCATGTAAAAAAGTGTTTTTCACTTCTTAATCCATGTTTTACTTTTGTTAGAGTTTAGAGTGCCGAAGTGAATACAACACGCCAGTCCTGATTTGAAAATCACAGGCGTGTGGAAAAAGGCACACCTGGATTATTCTAGGCGTGTGGTTTTTCTAGGTGTGTGATTTTCTAGGTGTGAGATTCTGTGGTCTTGGGAAATTCAGGCGTGCAATTATTCACACTTCTCGGGAAGCTTTTAGGTGTGCGATGGCGTGGGGGTGCAATCGCATGCCCAAATCAGAAGGACTGACACGCGTACAATTATGAGAGTAAAAGATATTAGCACGTGATTCAGCCTGTTAATCAACACGCTCCCGTACTCCATGGTACTACACTTCCCAGTTCTAAATAACGTCACACTTCGGTACCCTATATGACTTTGTCTTCATTATTTATGTTGCCTTTATTATTTATGTTGTCTCCATACCTCAAATCTCCAGTCATCAGTGGATCTGTAGGGTTCCAAAGCTGGCTTCCTGAGGCAGGTACCCTTGTAGGTATTCGAAACGTTCAGACAGTCAAAGAATTGGTCAAACATTTGAATAAACTTCACCAATGACTCTGTCCCAGGTTTTTTCTATGTCTCCAGCGCATTCGCTACAGAGCTACTCATGACCTACAGATGGAAAAAAAGGAAAAGGGGTTGAATTATTTTTTAAAAGGGCAATGTAGACCTATACAAAGGAAAAAGGAGAAGAGAGAGTTAAACTGTCACTCCAAAAAAATCCTAATTTTTGTTTGGATTGCGAGACATCTTTAACATTTATACATGTACATGTAAATGCAGCATTGCAAATTTTCAATTGACCAGCAGGATTATGATCAAAACTTTAACCGGCCCGCAACCCATTCAGTTATGTGTACCTGAGCAGCCATGTAGACTCGCATCCTCAATGATGGTGTAAGGTGGAGATGTTCATGAGTCAGCTTGGGGAGATGTCCCAAGCCAGGTGACTGTCGATCCACACCAACGTCCCATTCATACAGCTGAAGTAACTGCACCCACAAAACAGCTTGTTTATTGAACTGCAGCATTGGGAAAGAAATGCAATAATGTTATTTCAAAGAATTTTTTTTTAAGGTTTCAAAATATATAGGTTATTACTTAATTTATATAGACGTATATCACAATGACAGGTGACTTTGGGTTGACTGGCGTTGCAATGAAAAATTTAAAAAAAACTTACCATCAACGTCTTGGTCTTGTTGTGGTAGCCTGAATTTTCCAGGTTGTTGCGGGTTGTCATGATCAGATGGGGGACATCACAAATGAAGAAGAGTTGGCGAGACTGGGTTGGGTCAAAGGGGTGTGTGCAGGAATGAATAGGGACTCCATCTGTATGGCGGTCTTCATCGTGCAACCTATAGAATTTCCTGTTTGACGAGGCACCGTCAGAGACAAGAGCCCGCACTTTGAAGCCTGCAACCTCGAGGAAGAAAATAGCCTCCCAGAGAATTGAGCAAAGCTGGTCACTAGTGGCACCGATACTTGGATAATATGCAACAGCAGCATGAAGATTGCTGAAAATCACCCTGACCTTCAAAACCAAGACATGGGATGCTGGTGCCTTTTTTCCCCTCGGCATCTCCTCTCGAAGTTAGCAATCTCGTTGGCGATGCTGCCTACATCTGTAACGCCGATAACTTTGCCTGACCTGACAGAAAAGCCCAGTCCTGCCTTGATTTTCATTTCATCAAACAGAACTGAAATATTCTTCTCGTAGAGTAGGCAAATTTATTATGTTTATGTGAACATATTTCCAAGATTAAGTGCATGTGTTTTTTTAAGATGTGACAGAAGTCGACTAGCATTTCCATTAACGAGATGGTCACACTTTGGACAGATATAGCCCATCCTTGAAAGCTATCTGTAGATGCCAGAGATATGAAAAACTCAATAAGTTACTGTACAGTTATGTACCTGGTCATCTTTTAGCTTGTTCAGGTTTGCCAAAATCTTCATTCTTGGCCCCACAGGTTTTATCAATTCTTTCACAGTCTCAGCATCAAGCAGAAGAAAGGCCTCTTTGTCAATGAAATTTTCTGTAGAATATAGAATGTATTTAATAAAATTAATTCCAATTACATTGATCGTGCAATAATAAGCCATCAATCTGCATCATATTGCGGCAGCGAAACTGTTTTAATTGTACATGTACGATTGTACCTATATTACCAGGGTGACAACTGACAAGCGACATTTGCCAGAAAAGCGCTGGATTCGTAAAAATAAACCCCAGAAAATACTAGATGGCAATTTTCTTAACTTTTCTATGTTTTTGTAATTTTTTTCATTGCCCAGTATTAATTTTTGAGTACAGCAAAGCTGATGATCCGCCATGCTCCAATAAATGCCCATCCCCCTACATTTATTTTGGAAATATTTATTTTATGTTAATTCTTGCTCTAAAAATAAATGCCATGTTGCCAACCCCCTAACTACATAGCACAGTGATACACCACAGTTTTTAAACCCGAAATTTGGTTCCGGCGTAACAAATTGAATGCAGCTTTAACTATTGGAGTGACACTGTGATCAATGTCTATGTGGTAGCATGGAGGAAGGAATTAACAGGAGTTTGAACGACCATAGGATCAAAGGTTCAGGGTTCGTTGCCGCGGTCGTAAAAACAGCAGCAGTCCAGATCCGATAAACACCCGTGAGCGCTATCAGTAAATCAATTAGCGGTTGTTACGGGCTCCGATTTGAGCGATTTGAGCGACGTTTCTGACGAAGAATTCGATGAAAATGAGGTGGCAGAACTCGACTACGAGTCCGAAGATGACGGTCGGCAGTATTGTGTGTGTGGGGAGCCTTCAACCATGGAGATGATCGCGTGCGATGATGATCAGTGCACCGTTGTGTGGTGGCACTATAGCTGCGCCGGTGTTTGTGCCGATACAATCCCAGACACCTGGGTTTGTAGTCGATGCCTCCCTGGAACGACTGAAGAAATAGGTAGGCCTATGTGGTAAAAGTATAGCGAAGAAAATAAACAGAAGAAAAAATACTTCACTTCAGTGATTTTGGTCAACATGAAAAATTGTGACATGTATTTAATTTTGGCTAAAAATAATTCCTTCTTTAGTTCTTTCGCTGTCGTTAGTGTCAATTGTTGTTAATATTTTTTTATATTTATTCCCACTTGAATACTTGCCAAGCACCATAGTTCAATAAAAAAAAAATTGAAAGATATAGATATGCAAATAATAACAAAGATGGATGTAGGCCTATAATTTAGTTTGAACCGTTTTATTTTACAGAGCATCTGATCCAACATGTCCAAGACTTATTTGTTTAAAAATCTTTTCCCCTACAGATTCATCTCCTGGTCCTGATCCTACAGTTTCAAGACCACCTCGTTCTCGGAAAACCAGACAGAAACCAAAGAAGACATCTGAGACTACAGATGCAGTGACCACAGACGCACAGCCATCTGCAAAAAAAGACAAAAAAGCTCGAAAGCCTCCAAAGCCTGGTAAGTGATTCATACTTCATGTCTTCTTAACATTTAACAGAAATGCATGTTTTGAATACATGTATGTGTTTGGGGCATTTGTATCTCCAAAACACTATGTACATGTACATACATTTACATAAAATCTCGATTTGGCAAATCTCAATGGAACAAGCTCAAAATTTGAGTTAAGCAGACTTTTCAGTTAAGAAATAAGTTGTATCATTGTTATACTTCTGAAGGGAATATATTCTTTGTTTGGCTTAACAGGAGTTTTAAGTTATCAGAGTTTGACTTATTGAGATTTCATGATATTTAAATAATTAAAGTTTTAAAATCCACAATCCTCCTGCCATGTTTAGTCCAATGTATGCACAATGTAATAATATAATTTTTCAATCATTTTGTTTGCAATAGCTGTAAAACGTCCCGAGGCAAAGTTCTGTGAAGCTGATGCACTTCAGAAAGCTGACCATTACTTCATGTCTGGACTACAGCAGCTGCAGCAGCACCCAATCTGCCTTGGAGTCTACCCCACCGCGGTCTGCATGCTGAGTCTCGTCGCGAGCTTGATGGCCAAGACCAACACCGAAGCATTGCAAGATTTCTGCGCGGCTACAGTTAGCGGATTGTGGTTCGTCATAACAGCCGGAGATTCTAAATATCTTAAGCCAGAAGGCTATGAGATTCTTTGGCGAGCCTTTCACAAGTACAGACCGGAGGTAAACGATAAGTGGATAGAACTTTTGCAAGCCATGGGACTGTACAGAGAGGGGCAGCATGTCCACCTTGTTTGCCAATTTCTATTGCAGGCAGTTTTACACGCTATCATTGAAGATAGAAATAAACAAGATAAACCCATTGACAACCCAGCTGAAACAAAGTCTGAGAGCTTAAGTCCTCAGGAGGAACAGGTTTTGAGATATGTATCTGGATATATTCCATTTTCTCTGTTCAAAAACTTGAATAAACAAAAAAATGACACTGCTATGACATACTGTAAATTCCTTAAATCCTGGAAAGTAGACTGTAGTGATGAAACTGCAAGGACATTTCTCCAATACACAAACGACTGGATTGATAAACAAAATCGTGGTGGGTTATTTCGTGTCTCTGATGGGGTATATTTATTGTTCCGAGCCATGGAGCAGGAGACATGCAAGTATTTGACCAAGAATAATCTAAAAACATTTCAAGGATGTGATATTCAGAGCACGCTTTTGAACAATATTAAAGGTAGTCATCGAGTACAAACCTACTGGTGTAGTCTAACACAAGGAAAGATAACAGGGGACACTTCAACAAACTTACTGAACATGACTGTGAAGAAGTGGATAAAAATCAGAGCAAAAGCTTTCATCAATGTGTATTTAAACTTGAAGAAAGCAACACATGGAAATGTTGGGAAAAAAGCAGAAAAAGCTCTGCGTAAGGATCTGTAAATTCTGATACATGTACATCGTACTTTGCAAGTAAATCAAGTGTCTGGATTCCATATCTCAAAATTGTAATTGTAAGCATGCCACCCAACAAGCTGATACACCAGTTCACAATATGCATTACTATATTCTAAGTAGCTTTTTGTTATCATTTAGTATTAAAGGGAATTTGATGTACAAGTAGCGATACTCGAAAGTTTTACAGATATGCAATAACATTTCAATGCTGACAGCTGACAGCATCGAAGTACAAGTGCTGTACATATTCATTGTTAATGTAATTGTATCATTAATACATGTACATGTATACTAATAAAGGTTTGATCGCAAACATGCCTTTGTAGATGCAATGTGACATATTTTTTCCTCCTTTAATATTCCCTGTACTTAATACCCACATTATTATTATTATTATTACATCTGTACAATGTATTTTGAATGGTGCTTCTGTACATTTTCGATCCTTTTCATTGCAGCGGCCATCGTGTAATTGCTTTTTCCCAAACAGAGATACACGCAATACTAGTGCATGAACATTCAAACTCACTGAATTAAACAAACACTAACAGCAAGGTATCATTTAATTTGTAAATGTCTCTATTTTGTTAAATCAACCTTTGGAATGTTCGCTTTCTATCAGTAGTACAAGAAGAAATGTCAAGATTCTAATCACTTTATCCCTGCGATAACACATGGGAATGAAAACTGTATAGCTACATGTATGATGTATTACAATACTTTGAATTCATTTATATGACAGACTTGGTACAATCCCTCAAGTCTCAGATGACACTCCCATGTTACTCTTACCGATATTTACAAATGTATAGTTTTGCAGAGTAACCATGCCAATGAAACAATTTATGAAAATTAAATCCATGCTGTACAAACTGTGACAGAAAGTGACACATTAAAAGAAAAGGAATATGAACTGAAGGATCCTCTTAATTATTTAAATTCTGCGTGTCAGTTATTTTACAGGTTTACTGCAACCACTTATGATATGACTCCTAAAAAAACTCAATAAGGAATGGCAATTTTTTTGGTTCATCATAATTGGCATACACTACACAAGAAAGCTGAACATTTTAGGCTGATTGGAAGCATACGTTAAAGTCGAAAGAATTGAAATGAGCATCAAACCGTTGATGTTTCAGTTTGACGATATCAGATGTTAAATCCTGCAGTCCTTGCACTGTATTTTTTTTACCAAATGTGAGAAAAATTTGGTCTTTATATCATGCATGATATAAAACATTATTTTGGGAAAGAATGTTGCAACCTGGCGCCACTTTTTTCTTAATACATCATCTCAATAATGGTTAGTCATTAAGAAAATGTTGAAAAGCCATGAATCTGGGGCCGAGAAAACTTTCCAATATTGTAAGGAAATACACGATTTTTTTCGTAACTCTCCATACACTTTGTACACAACCGCTGAAGTGGCATCTGGATACTACATTCTTTCTTTACTTTCTCCGAGGAAGAGGTGTGCTATCAAGAGCAGCCACTTCATCTGCACCCTGTACTTTGCAGTTGCCTCTCTTCGATGCTTTGACGCAGCTGGATGCAACATACAGGGCCTGCATGTTATGACCAAACTGCTCGACGGTCGGGTTATCGCTGCAGCCACCTGTGCCACGCTGCTTGCTAAAATACTGCTCCAAAGGATCCTGATTAAATTTCTCGCTTAGAAGAAAAGTCACACCAGGAAGCTTGAGCAGCAGCCTCCCTAGCTCGACAAATGAATGCACTGAAACAGAAAATCCAAAATAGGGATTTGTGTTAAAACTTTGAAGAGCCAACTGTCGTGTACACATGTATGCATACACTGTACAAACAATGTCAAGACAAACTTTTTAGGTACAGCATGCATGGAGGAAGGAAGGAATTCCTTCCTCCCTGGTTACAGCAAACAAAAACCTTGGTCCCGACTGTGTATTTACATGTCGTCGCGTCAGTGCAACAAAGGTTGTATTGCTACGTCCATTTACTTTGTGTGCACATCCGGGTTATTTTAAGCGAGATACGACCTTTTGACATTATTAAACTGGAGTTTCGTGTAAGTGCAATTTTAGGAGATACGACCTTGTTGCAGAGATGACTAAAACAAAAAGGGAAATGATTCAAGCAAACCATTGCTCACAGATTTCGTAAAATAAAACAAGACTGTGACATTCTACTTTGAAGTTTTACAGTTACAATTAACTGCATTCATTGGAAATATAGTTCACAATGTATATGGTATTGAACACACACAGGATGGATTGATGGCAGTTATTGGTACCGTTTCTTAAACACTGTTGATCTAACCTGTTATTCTCATCCCCTTGAGAGTTTCCTTGCTGAGGATCATCTTCGCCTTGGCTGTCTTATCCAGGGCTGGGTGTGACTCGACTTCAGCCTCCCATTCATCAAGGAAACCAAGGAAGTCGTGCATCAGCCACTGTTGACAAAAAATGAAATCATCTAAAAATTATAAATGTAATACCAAATCACTGTGGTAATACAAGACAGTTAAAGTAACACAACAATTGGCATTCATTGAGACATCTTCTACTTACGTCAAATCTTTTATCCTCAGCACTGATGTAAGGTTCCAAGTTGGGCTTCCTGAGGCGAGCGTAATCGTAGGCATTGGAGACATTTAGGCAGTCAAAGAAGTCATCAATGTATCTGATGAATTTGATGGTGGACTCCAGACCAACCTTGCCTGCCTTCGTCTGTGCATCAAGAGTGTTGGCAACCGTGGAGCTCATAACCTAAAAATCAATTAGAATGATTATACTTCCTGTTTCACTGTCTGTACACACTGGAACTGTAGGTTGTGACGGTACAGTTGCCACCTTAGCATAAACAATGTTGCCACCAGTGGGCCAACAGACTTCAACGCTGCAACTGTTTTCTTAATTTCTAAAACAAAAAAATCCCAATAGATTTTGATGACGGCTTTGCTTTGTAAAAATTTGCAACTTCAGAGTTTATGACCTTCTGGGGTTCCCATGTTTTGAGTGCTTTTAAAAGGGGGATTTTTAAGCACGTGTTCAATCATGCAATAACTTAAATCATTTTTGTTTGCACTAGTACGGAGATTAATTGATAAAATCAAAACCACGTCAATTAAAAGCTTACCTGTGCAGCCATGTACACCCGCATTCTGAGGGACGGAGTTAGGTGCAGATGTTCATAGGTTATCTTGTGCAGGCGACGGAGACCCGGTGAATGGCGATCCAAGCCGACATCCCACTCATACAACTGAAGGAGTTGCGTCCACTTGATGTCTTGCTTATGGTACTATGAAAGAAATACACAACACAGCCCACAAAATAAATAGATGTACTTAATAGCGCAAATATCACTTAGTTGTTTGCATCAAACAATTCTATGGACCACAGAGAGCATTCTGAATTGGATTTTGTAAACAATTCTCAAAAATTTATAGTTTCTTTTTAATTACAACCTTTTTGATGCATGTGGGGACTACTGTATGATTAAACAATTTCAGCATCCCATACCCAAGCACTCCTTAAAATAGATTTCTGTTTAGATTTTTTTTTCTATTTTCTTGCTGTTTATATACAAAATATGAAAGACAAAATAAAACAAACATGAAACTCACGCAGAGTGTCCTTGTCTGCCGATTGTATCCCGAATTCTCAAAGTTGTTCCTTGTTGTTTTCAGCAGATGGGGAACATCGCACAGGAAAAAGATTTTCCGGGTGGGGTCAAAGGGATTCGGAGTGCAATACGTTGGCACACTCGTCTCAGAACTCTCTCCGTGTAACCGATAGAATTTCCTATTTGGAGAGGCTCCATCGGACACCAAACCCCGAACCTTCAGCCCAGCTGTTTCTAACCACAAAACAGCTTCCCACATGCACGGGTACAACTGGTCGCCTGTGATGCCGGTAGTTGGGAAATACGCCACTGGAGCACGTAAAGAACTGAAAATGCCCCTCACCATCAGAACCATGACATGAGTTGCTATGGTTGGCTCCTCGTCTCCTCTGCACCTCCTTTCAAAAGCAGCAATCTCGTTGGCCACACTCCCCAAATCAGTGAAACCCATGATTTTCCCAGACCTCACAGAGAAGGCCAAGCCTGCTTTCACCTTCATTTCATCAAATAGAAGAGACACATTGCGTTCGAACTCAGGAACCGTCTCCAGATGCCAGTCCTGATAAATCCTGGCAAGCATAGAGGCATTAAACCCTGTAGTGAGGCTGGCAAAATGGCTGTATGAATGCAGCGTGCTCGGGTGGGGTAGCTTAAGAAAGCCTGAATCACAAAGAAGACCATACCCTGCTGAAGACTTGCTCTGAAGGGCAATGCACCATCTGATAATGGCAGGATGCCATCGCATCTGTTTGCCCTTCAGAGCCGACTCCTTTTGCTGTTCCCATAACAGCCTTGCTGGGGAGCTCAACCCAAGGATTTTCTTCATCTCGTCATCACAATCACCTACTGTCGCTGATAACTGCTTATGCTGAATTCCATCAACCGCCACATTCTCCTTTTCCAGCATGGAGGCTACTTTGTCCTTCAAGGCTAGACTTCGTCGTTTCAGGTTTCTCCTTTCGGTCTGCAGAAGGGACACTTTCTGTTGAAGCTGTTGATTTGTCAAGTTCTTGTTTGGAATTGTGGAATCGACGGACACATCCTTGAACAACTTTCCTTTCTCCCGACTTGCAAGGACCATCAAGTCACTCCGATGAATCCGGCACACATCACACCGGGGCCTATTACTAAGAAGGAGACATTTGATGTGTCTAATTGTCCCCTGACAGTAGATGTCATTGGCTGTAATCCTGATTGGCATCTGACCTTCTGCCCCCTTCCTTGCCTCCACAACGCCATGAAGATCTTTGTTTCCCTCACAAACAAATAGTGAAGACAACTTCCGCAGCATATCCTGGAAATCTTCCACACTCAGAACCCTTGGGTGTCCACAACAGACGGGAAGGTCCCCTTGTGCAACAATACCGGCTACAATCAAACGCCACGTACAGTCATCAAATACTGTAAAAAACACAGAGGGCATACCCTCACCATCCATCTTCATGACTTGAAGACGGCTATCTGTCAACCATGTGTTGAGGCCTGCACTTCGAGCTGCTTCCTCCCATTCAACTTTCGCCAACGTGGCCGTGGTCGATTTTGAAGAGATCCCTTCACCCCTTGGAAAATTAGAAACTTGGATGTTGAGGGAGGCCTTCTTCTTTTTCTTTGTTGCATCCCACCATCTCCGCAACTTCATCTTGCACGGTCTGCAAATGTAGGGTGGATGATTCCCAGTGACATCTTCTTCTACGTTGATGTTCAGGCCAGCTCGAATAATTTTCGAAACATCCTCCTTCCGTGTAGGATTTCGATGTGATTCCGACCGCCTCAAAACCCCACATAATCTACACAAGTCTTGCAACTCTGGACCCGACATCTGCATGCAATAAATAGACAGAAAATAATAGGGAAAAAAAATGGATCAATGCTTCTCAGTGTAGTATTCTAACATTTGCTTGGAAAGTGGAAAAGCTTTAAAGCGAAATTGCACGTCCTTATAAAAAATAATACATAAATAAAATAATAATCATGACATTCCTTTTAACTTTATTTTAAATCTTAAAATGAACCACAAAAAATTAAGTTTAAAGAAAATAGTTAACTGAAATGTCACAATTAAGAAGAAAAAAAAATAAACGTATGTAATTAATGATTGAACATGCAGAACTTGAAGTACATGTTCCGATTAAAAAATGGTGTAAATGGTGAAAGTGTTGATTTGTAGTTAAAAAATTAAACAGAGACTTAACAATCAGACAATGATGTGCATTGGCCCTAAAAAAAATCTAACTTCTAAAACCTAAGATTCTTAGATTTAAGAATAAAAAAATTAAAATTAAGTAATGAAGTGAAATATAGTTCTGTAACCATTTTCGTAACCAAATATTTTTTTTTAAATCCTGATCCAAAATAAAAAAGATTTCAGCAATTAACGATAATAAGAATTATTTAAAACATTTGAAATAATTGTTGCCATTATCATTCAATCATGATTATAAAAAAAAAATTCATCACTGTGTCAATACTGTCATGACTAAAAATATTTTTGTAACGAGATTGGTCTTTAAAAAATAGCCTTCTAGAGGGTAAAATAATGTTTGTTTCCCAGTGGTTTCCCCAAACAATGTTCGTAGCAACGCGTAAAATACATTAAAAAAAAAATCGGAAGGTCGAAAACGAAGTCCGGTAAAAATATTGCACGGGACTGCACACCTTAAGCACACAAACGAATGGCTAAAATACAGCCTGCCGATGCAACCTTTCGAGTTTCAGCCGTCGGAACTTGTCGGAAATGCGTCAAAATCAATAAAATATGTATTCATAATTTTCCTTACCTCTCAATATGTCATTCAAAGAAAGATCGATGTATTTCCCTACGGGAAAATCGGATTCTGGACATTTAAACATCAGAAGATCGAGAATTTTTCACCGCATTCGCTAGAAAAGATGGCGCATGAAAATAACAGCTGGGGGGTTACTGCGCATGCGAAATGTATGATTGTTCGTGCATTCGTGTTTATCAACCCTTGTACCACGAACGATTGTTAGCTCCAATGATGCGACCAGGGCGGCAACGAAGCCTGTGCACAGAGGAGTCTTATCGCGGTCGTAAAACACTTGGTCAGTGGGCGCACAGCGGGAGGCCTCCATGCCTTTTTCACTGGTCAGCCAGGGTCGCTAATTGGTCAGTAAATACCCTGTGGCGGCTTGGCGGGCCGTTCAAACTCCTGTTAATTCCTTCCTCCATGGTGGTAGTGACCTGGTAGCCGACCAAGGCCAGTGAATACGTCTTTGTACTCACTGAGGACCTGTTCCTTGGTTTGAGTCGGTGACTCTGTCACTGCATGCACTAAGCACTCCTGTGCGAACTGCATTAGTCCCAGAGCTTCTGCTGCTTTACCTGACAGCAGAGATGAGGGGGCATCCTCCACGATCTCGAAGTGGATTTTCCTGGTGACCCCTTTTATCTGGCATCTCAAGCTGGCAGCTCCAACAGGATGAATTATTGTGCCATTGTACAGTTTCAGTTTAGTCTTTGATGGCACCGGAGGCATGTCACTGAGCTGCTTGTAGTCTGCCAGCCTCATGGTGCTGCAAGTTGCACCAGACCCTCACCAAAGTGAATGCCTTCACTAAGTAGTCGATAAGTAGTCAAATAAGCAGTCATTATAGGCAGTCTAACAAGCATTTTTTATGTAGTCATTTTTTGGTCTTCATGCGTTTCATACAGGGCTTCGAAGGCTTAATAGGTCTTCGAAGCCCTATAGTCATTCACTAAGCCTTCCCACTGACGAAATATGTAAATGAGCTAAGTCTTCATTTTACGCTAAGCAGTCGTAGAGGCTGCTTAAAGCTCTATATTTGAGCAGTTGACCACTTCTATGAAGGCTTAATATAAGCAGTCAACTGTCTAAATGAAGCCCTATATTTAAACAGCTGACTGCTTCTATGAAGGCTTATTAAGCAGTTGACTGTCTAAATGAAGCTCTGTATTTAAGCAGTTGACCACTTCTTTGAAGGCTTTCAAGCAGTTCACCGTCTAAATGAAGCTCTGTAGCATGGAGGGCCCAATGTCATATGGCTCTGCTTCGCCGAATTCTGCTTATAGGGCAAGCGCCCATTTTCTGCGCTAGCTGTGTAAGCAAAAACTAGATGCCTAGTAACATGAAGTACACTCAGTTGTATCTGAAAAGTGCATAAGCTTTGCGGATATCAAAGATAACATTAGAGTTAAAAATTCAATTCCAAAAACACTCGTTTATTGCATGCTTGCTATTTTTCAAATTTGACATGACACTCACAAATGACACTGTATTGTACATTTCTAAAATGGCTCAATTTCCTCCTAAAAGCCAGCTTGTATGTATCTTTAAAATTAACACAGAATTATGTTATAGGCCCAAGGTGATGTCAAAACCATGACTATGCCCGAAGCGAAGCTGAGGGCATAGTCATGGTTTTGACATCACCGAGGGCCTATAATTTTAAAGTGTGCCCCGAATATAAAGCAGTCAATATTTGTTTTATATACCGAATAATATAGATTCTTCTCATCTGATTGGTTCAAATATTTTCTGAACTGACAAGGCCTACAAGTTTTTTACAGCATAGGCCTTGATTTTGAAATGTAGTATAAAAGTGTAATAACTTACAAAAATCATGTCCTCTTCTTCAGTGTTGATCCATCCAAATCAGAGAGTGCAAGTTCCACGCAATCTCTTTTACAATACCTGTAATCAACGCTGGCCGTACACTGTGGGTATGATGCGTACATACGAGCGATCTATGAATACGGTGTTGCGACTGTCACGTTATTTTCAGGGCACAGTCGAGATATGACGTCATCTTGATAGAAGAAAGGGGGCCCAGCTGTTTCAATGACTCCACTTTTAACCAGTCAGATGAGAGGAATCTATACATGAGGTATATAATATCACTCCAAGACCCCACCACGGAGCGATATTTGCGAATAATCATAGGGTTAGGATCACACTGGAATCTACTTTAACATGGGTAAATACATTGTACGTATTCAGTAGAAGCCTTGGTGATACATGCACATAGCCCATTTATCTGTGTAAGTCGGCATAACGACGACTTAATACAGCACATGTCGTCATACACGTAAGTCGCCAGAAATTGGGAGGTCCCGACAGTGCCGACTTAACCAAGGTTTACTGTATGTTTGCTATTGACAAGGGACTGCGAGAAATGAGCCGACTTGTACAAAATGACGACTTACAATTGTCGGCTTTGACATAAGAATCTACATTGCAAATACATTAGGGCGAATTGGGACTTCGTTCAGACTGCCGACTTGAGCGACTTGGCGAGCTATACGAAGTCAACTTGGCCGAGGTTTACTGTATTATCAAAGTTCAATTTATATTTTGGGGTTAGCGCGGCGACTGTTTGTAATTTTATTTGTGATGCATCTTTTCAAAGTGTTGTCATCAGGAACTTCCCATTGCTCCCTTGCGGTCTTTGACTTGACAAAATCTGTGAGAATCAATAAGAGAAACAAGGGGGATGCAAACTTACAATTTATGTTTGTGGGATAACTAAAAATATCGTGACTAATTTAAAATCTAAAAAATCTAGACTGTTAAAACTTCAGTTTTTCCTTAGAGTAACAAACACTATATATACATGTAGCCCAATATATATTGACGGTTTAGTAAGTGACCTGACTATTGTATCAAGAAGTGTTAACACTTTAAAATAGTAATTCAGTTTGTTATACTTTCTCAAGTACAGGTGAATTTTGTGAGCAACTTCGTTTTGCTACGCTACATGTTGAAAAGGGATTTTTGGTCCTGTCTGATTAAATTTCCATTTAGGATCTTTCTTTTTTTTATTTGTCTTTGACAATAAGAAGCACTAATCTTGAAATTACTTAATACCGTAGAAATTTCTAATCTACTGGTGCTGTTTCACACATTAAATATTTTTTCCAGTTTGAGAGTACCTACTGTATTGACGCACAGTACCAATTTAACCCATGATATTTTTTTTTGACAGTTACAACAGATCATCCCAGAAGGATTTAAACTGAGGTTTAGACCAAATGATATACAATGACATGTGTATAGGGTGGGTTACCTTTGTCCCCCAAATAATGTGAGAAGCAGTACAGTAAAACATGTGAAATTAGAGCTAATCAAATCATTTGTGTGATTTGTGGTACTGCCAAATCACATCACGTGCTTACTTACATATATTATACTTCATTTCTGCTTGAGTATTGTGGTGACATTAGATCTTGTACGCACTTGAGCCACACGCAACTGCCCTAAAATGTGTGTATATGCACTATGGATTATGTAGGTTGTGTGCACAACTCAATGGAAAAACGCATGCGCATCACAACCAAACTTGAGGTGACCTATAAAAAATGAACAGCCTGCAAATTATACTCACCATCTGTTCAGCTGGGCAACTGGTGCCCACATTCGGTTGTGCTTCCGTTGGCTTTGTAGTTGGCTTTGTAGTTTGCTTTGTAGCAGGCTGTGTACACTCTAAAAACTCCCTGGTCATCTGACCCGGAACGGGTCAGATCTGACCAGAAAAAAGGGTCATATTTGACCCAACCCTTTCTGCATTTCTGGGTCAGAATGACTCGGAATGTTGGGTCACTCAGTGTGACCCAGAAAGTTGGGTCAAAATATTGTTTGACTCGTAAATCGGGTCATTCTTTCTGACCCGTCTCTGGGTCATTCTGACCCAAGATGGGTTGGGACAAATATGACCCATTTTTCCGGGTCAGACGAGATAAGCATGTATTCCACACACTATTTATGGCAACAATCAACAGAATTTCTTGGAAAAATTATGTTTGAGGAATGAAAGCCGAGTAGAATTTTTATTTTCATAATTGTTTCCCTTTTGAGTAGCTGCCATAAATAAGTGCATGTTATTGAAAAGGAACACATGCTTACCTTGTCAGGTTTAGAACAGGATACATGTTGCAGGGCAACTGTACAAAGAAAATAAAAAGTAAACATTAAATTATCTGCTGATGAATATACATGTGTACATGTATGTATTTATTTCCAGGAATGGATTGTGATGATCAGTGCTTTTGATTTGTTTATATTGCAGCACTGTTCACGTTAAAATACATCTTTTAAATAAATCTTTAATGTAATGAATATTATTTTGGCAATTTGGCATGGGAAACTCCATAAAATATAGCATACAAATGTATGTTACTAAAACGGTATAAAGTGGCTCAAATTGTACAATAATGGAATATTCAATGTGTTACCCTTTTCTAAAAGTAAAACGTATTGAAAACCGAAGGAGATCATGTAGTGTTCTTCATGCCAGACCCAAAGGGGTGATCCTACGAGGTCATAAGGGGGGAGAGAGGGGGAGGGGGAAGGGAGGCCAGGATAAACATTTCTGCTGATATTTGCTAAAGTTGTGTAAGATGCTGTCAAAACATGATCCCATTTTCCCTAAACCCTCGCCCTTAAAACGTAAAAACAAAAATTACCATTCACAAATATAAATCAAATAAACAGTTTAAAACTTCCTCAAAATGAGGATAATGCCTTGTGTTTCTTAGCCCTTGATTTACTTGAGGTCAGAAAAGTAACGTTTCATTACAAAAAAGAAAAATAGAAATGCAAAAGTACCTATAATGAACAACCAGTAATTTCATTGTGCAGAACTATTTTAAACCCGTTTTCTGCTATTTTAGATTGCTTTTGAATATGTAAGATCTTATACACCAGGACTGCTGAGTCGTTTCGTTTTAATCTAGTACTCGAACCCGAGACCTCTGGATTAACATCCACTCTATTTACTTGAGGTCAGAAAAGTAACGTTTCATTACAAAAAAGAAAAATAGAAATGCAAAAGTACCTATAATGAACTAGTAATATCATTGTGCAGAACTATTTTAAATCCGGTTTCTGCTATTTTAGATTGCTTTTGAATATGTTAGATCTTATACACCAGGACTGCTGAGTCGTTTCGTTTTAATCTAGTACTCGAACCCCAGACCTCTGGATTAACATCCACTCTAGCCCTATACCTGTTGTGGCATCCTTCCCAAATAGTCTTTGCTCGGATGGGGGTTGCCAGTCAGAAGTTTTAAAAATACAAATACACACAGATAGGAGACAGGCCCAAGATAATAACAGGAATTTTGTTAAAACGAGTTTGTTATGAGAGTCAACTGTATATGTACATCACTACTGTTTATTACTTAAGTAAGCCCTCAGAGTTCTAACACAACCTGAAGTTTGTGCATTCCCCTTTCCCTCGCCTAATTGGTATGTTACCTTTTGGAAAAATTCCCAAGTAGTGCCACACTGCCAAGGATACGAAAGATCGAGAATGTAGAACAGCTTTAAAACATAGGTCAACACCTTTGAGGAGGGAGTTAACAAGCACGGCTTGACGCTTCACAACTACAAATACCTGCTCTGGTGACAACTTCTCACCAAGCAGCAAGATAAATGGTTGGTCCAGCTTGACATTTTCAAGGTACCTCGGTAGGTTTGTCCCAACCTAAGTGAAAGTGAAAAGAAAAGAAAACCTTTGAAAAACAAAAATACTCAAATAGAAAAGGACTGAAGAGAATTAGCGGTTAATTTTGGATTTTTTTATCAAAAAAGCATGAAACCAATACATTGTAGCTGCAAGTTTGTGATTCCACTTATTTAAAAATGTTACATACATTGTACTTTCGACAAAATACCTACTGGAAAAAAATATAAATGTGTTAATTCTTAAATTTTGGAAAGAGATACCTCTCTAAAAAGAGAATATATTTTTAAAAAAATTGTGCGCAAGACTTGACTGAAAAAAAAAAGACATGAAAGGATAATGTGTGATTCCCAGCAGTTGCAAAGAAATCACAAAAAATGACGAAGGGAGGGGGGCTAATTTAGCCTAGCTGCCCCCCCCCCCCAACCCAAGTAAGGGTTGATGAATCAATCTATTTTCTTACTGGCTGGAAGTCAACGAAGGACCTGATGGCATCATCCACAGTGGTTCTGCTCGTCTTTCCTTTTATCCGTCTCACTCCAGTCGGGAAAATGCATGGAAGCACCAACACAGCCAAAATTCCCCTTTCATCATCTGCTCCAAAAAATAAAAATACAAAAACTATTCAGATTTATATCAATTCTTTGGTTTGCACCATTTACAGATCAGATATATAGTACATGCTGGTGCTCAATGTAATTTCAATCACATACTTTGTATGTTTGTAATTTGGACAGACATGATCAGAAGTATCAACAGGAATATAGTGATATAATTAATAAATTCAGCCAAATCTGCACTCTCAAAGACAGTTGTCTGAATTTTTAGGTATACACAATCCCCAATGGGTTAATAGTGTACACATTTGAAGCATACTTCATTTAATTATTACAATCTCATATATCCATTCCGTGCAACAAATATGTATACCCAATAGTGTGGGCAAACCCAATTACATAATTACATGTACCTGTGCATGCCTGGACTCGAAGATACTGTTGATTGAAAATAATTTATAGCGCGAAAGTGTTCATTTATACACAAACGCTAATACATAATAGTAACGTCTTGGAACTAAGACTACGCGCGTGCGCGTACGGATATGTTCACATTGTACACGTTGGAATGTTAGTACATGAACAGCCTTGAGCGCCGAGACAAGCACATCCGTGCAGTGAGTCCGCAAGCGAGAATAGCCGGTTAGCGGTGTGGCCACCCATTCATTTTTTCCTTGGTGTACGCTGATTGGTCAAGATTTCACGACGTATCATGAAGAAGGTCTTCCCTAAACCATCGTTTCGTGAGAATTCGCTAAGTCTCGGGTATGTTTTTTTGTCATTTTTTCCTCAAAATATTTTCTCAATGATGTTTTGAGTGTTATGAACGGAGCCATTACACATTGAAGATCAAATCTGTGTTCTTAAAATGTGTGTCATGATCTTTGAAAGTGGTAAACACTTTGTTTTGGGCTTTGTTTCCCTGTCTAATGAAGACAACAGTCTATCAGTGTCCAAGAACAACTGAATGAAAATGTCTTGAATAAATAATTGTGAACTCTGTTGATTCTCATTTGTCTTAACCTTGTACATGTACATGTACATGTACATTAACTGCCTACTTTGGGCAGTCTGTCAACTCCATTGACTGGCAACACAAAAGTGTTTACAAAACCATTCACAGGTATGGTTTCAATTAATTGATTAATTGTGGCATGTCTTGATTTACCAAGTGCTCTGAGTGAGAGAGTACACTACAAAACCAGTGTAACGATGCAACGTGGTAAACCACTGCCCCACTGCTCTCTTAAAATTAAGTCACTTTCATATGGCAGATAAGATACAAGAACAGCTGCACAACTCTACTGACTTTTCAAACCACACAAATTGGATAGTTTAATGGTTTAAAAACTAATCCTTGGCATCTGCTATAGGGAATGATCAAAGAACTAGGAAGTTGGACATATTGGATGTGTGTATATGTATAAAAAATATACACATTTTCATTGGATGTATATACACATATATATAAATATATATTTACCAGTAACCATGGGAACATTGTCATCCAAGTCATAACATGGAGAGTCACAAGTAGGGATTGGTGATGAGCACTCCAATATGCTTGAGCTGTCAAACTCGCTGTTCGAATTTGATGTGCAGTCAGCGGCTATTGGGGAAAATAAATGATTAGCAATATTAACCTGCTAAAATACAACCCGTTTGTTTTGACGCAATTATCATTCTACTAGACAAAATAACATTAGAAAAAAATGAAAACTGCATGTAAGTTTACCCTGGCCAGATGTCTTAGATGAGATCTGAAACGCAATTCTATTACCAAGAATCACTTTTAAGTCTATAACTTCCTGCTGCAGGCTGGCATTTTCTTGTTCTCGCATCTCCAAGGCTGTTTTAAGTGCTATGATATCTTGCTCTAGGCGTTCAACGTGGGACCGGTGTTCCTCCAACTCCAGAAACATAGTTATTGTCGAATCGATTTCTGTAATGGAAAAAATATTGATGTGGCGTTACCTTTTTGTTTATCTTCTCCAGATCATGAATAAAGACCTGTTGAAATGTTTCTATTAAAGACCTGTTTTACGTTGTTCTTGTATAGAATTTATATTTCTTGTTTTTCTCTGGGTATAATTTCATGAAATAAAAAGGAAAACCAAATAGGGGCCTAACACTTGCACGTTAATTTGGTCCATATTAAACTGTCACTTTACTTGCATCTGATGAAAGCAGACAATGCATGTGCGTTGAAATGCTGATGTGTTTGTAATGCACAAGACCAATTTCACCCAAAACAAGAAAAGTGCAGTTTTAACTACAAAGGAAACTGAACACTCACCATCATCCTTGGTCGGGGCAATCAATGTCTGCGCGAGTGGCTCAACACTTTCCTTGGTTGATACTGTCGCTGTCTGATCGGGCTGCTCAACATTTGCTGTTTTCTTGGTCAAGGGCGGCTGCTGCTGTACATCATGAGCAGGAGCATCTGGTATAGTACTGTAACGTCTCTCTGGGTTGAGAGACATTATCAAATAAAGAGTCAGATACAAGTATCTTACACACACACACTAGTACTTTATTCGAGATAATTTACATCTCAGGTCAATAGAGGGCGCACTATATACAATGTAAAGTTAAGGCGTACATGTGTACATGTCGGGAACTCTGTCAGGGTCAGAGCCCCGAGCAACAATCTAATGCATCATATGGGGGAGCTCTGTGAAGGTCAGCTCAAGAATCTACTGGGTAAGAGCCCAGTACAACAATGACCAGAACTGCCATTTCTACGCGCTTTATATAGACTTTTGGGTGCGCGTCTTAGCCAATGGGAGCATTGGATTCTGGTAGTTATGAATAATGCATCCGTGTACAAAGGCATGGGGAAAGTTCTCTATGGGAGATTTGTACACGACTGACTTAGACATTCTAGTGGGAGAAAGTCCGAGAGCAGTGGTTAGCGGGCGAAGTAGGATCACTCGTGGGTGCCTTACGGGGAACTGATCCTCAAGGAAAAGGGAAAGGGAATAACTTCTCGGTACATAGGCTTGTGTACAAGACTTAGTCTCTAGACTGGATAAGAATCTACACACTAATGCTATGGAGTAAAACTATGAGATGAAGGACGTAACCTGACCTCTAGCTACCGTAGGTCTCGGCCAGTGGGTTAGCGGGACACACTCGCTGGGGTGTACGGGGTCACATATACGGGGTGAATACACGGATAGGTTTTAGCGAGCCACATTCGCTAAATGCTTGGTGTCAATGTGGGTCAGATGCGAGGTAAGGTGTGTGAGGGGAATTCGCATCGACTCTGGGGAAAGGTGGAGGGAAAATGGCTAAGTCCTAAGTACATGTCCCATGGCGGTACATGTTCAATAGCTGTGAGAGCTACATGCATTGCGCGCTATACAATAGCGTACTGTATAATGTGCTGCACACTTGGCGTGCGTCTCTAAGACTTCGTGCCTTTCGTGGTAAGCTTCGCGCTGTGTGAGGGCACACAGGATCGCTGCAAGCATTACGCTGTGCACGGAGTGGAATGGATTGGTTGGGAAAGAAGTAAACTACGCAATTTGCGGGAACGCAACAGTACAATATAAGTGAAGTTTTGTATATTAATAAAAAATGTCACAAGAAGTCACACATTGAAGCGTAAAATAAAAACCAATCGCTTTGAGCATAATCCATGGTTCTTGACAAACTTACCACGCTCAAATACATCCTTCATGCCAACTAACATGGCAAGGCGTGCGGTCTTCTCTGCATTCTGCTTACTGGATTTGTTCTTTGCAGTGGGCACTATAATCAGTGAGGGAAAAAGCATCCAGTTTAGTGTAATTAACAAATCAGGGTCAAAATGATGGTGTTTTCTAAATCTATAACAATTTCATTTAATAAACTATTACAATTAAATTCTCCTTTTAAATTGTGTATACAAAATTTTCACCCTGCAAATGCTATCAATGTGTGAAAACTAAAAGGTCCCAAAACAATTTGTCTGAGAAAATGTAAACAAACATGGGAAAGTAATAAAACCTGGGTAGTCATCCAATAAACCCCCCTTTTTTTCTTGGCCCAATTGTATTAAGAGTTGAGTAAACAATTAAACAATTTTTTTGTAAAAGGTAAACACATATAATCATTTCAATACCTTTTTTGGCTGTGGCATTACCTGGTTTCTTATTCTTGGTAGTACCCTGCTGGACTGGAGCCGGTGTAAGCTTAATGACAGATGGGTCACCTATGAAAATAAAAAGGGAGAGACAAAACCTTAAAGTCAATTATTATATTTGAAATAAAGTTCCATAACAATTATGTCACGGCGGAAAGGATCAACTATAACTCTTGAAAACTACGTACATTTGAACCTCGTTAGTAAGAGGTCCTTGGAAATTTTACAAAATACGTTGTTATAACAGGAACCTTGTATTATCAGGAGTCAAAAACAAAGGAGACTTAAGAGTTGGGACCTACAATTGTCGTTGTTATAACAGAAACCTTGTACATGTATTAACAGTGCTCTTATTAATGAGGTTCAACTGTACATGTATAAATATTACAACATTATGGAAAAAGTGGTCGATTTTATTAACACCTTGCCATTCCTCAAAATAACAACTATAAACTCAATCCTTGAAATAAGGAGTCTGGAAAAAGCATCCAGTTTAGTGTAATTAACAAACCAGGGTCAAATGATGGTGTTTTCTGAATCTATTAACATACAATTTCAAAAGCTGTTACAATTAAATTCTCCTCCTTTTAATTTGTGTATACAAAATTTTCACCCTGCAAATGCCATCAATGTGTGAAAACTAAATGGTCCCAAAACAATTTGTCTGAGAAAATGCAAACAAAAATGGGAAAGTAATAAAACCTGGGTAGTCATCCAATAAACCCCTCTTTTTTTCTTGGACCAATTGGATGAAGAGTTGAGTAAACAATTAAACATTTTTTTTTGTAAAAGGTAAACACATATAATCATTTCAATACCTTTTTTGGCTGTGGCATTAGCTGGTTTCTTGTTCTTGGTAGTACCCTACTGGACTGGAGCCGGTGTAAGCTTAATGACAGATGGGTCAACTTTGAAATTAAAAAGGGAGAGACAAAACCTTAAAGTCAATTATTATATTTGAAATAAAGTTCCATAACCATTTTGCATAACAATTATGCCATGGAAAAGATCAACTATAACTCTTGAAAACTACGTACAGTCGAACCTCGTTAGTAAGAGGTCCTTGGAACTTTTACAAATTACATTGTTATAACAGGAACCTGGTATTACCAGTAGTCAAAAAGTGCTCTTATTAACGAGGTTCAACTGCACATGTATTAATGTATTAATGTAATAATATTACAACATTATTACAACATTATGGAAAAAGTGGTGGATTTTATTAACACCTTGCCATTCCTCAAAATAACAACTATAAACTCAATCCTCGAAATAAGGAGTCAATATATAAAATTGCAAGAAACAAAGGCCCTCAAATTATTGTTCTTATTTGTAAGTTTATCTACATTGATAACACATGCACAATCTTACCTTCATAAACTCAAGTTTTGTGTATGTTAGAATGAAAGTTCACAAGCTTGTATAACGGTGTTATCGGCAAGGCTCAACTGTTGAAATGATTGAAATTAAGTTAGTGAACATGCAATAAATATTGGTACATGCAACAAAAACATAAAGGCCGTCTCAATTGTACAATATCAGTTCAACTTGTTGACTTTGCTATGTAACGTATAACAGCTGATATGAAACAGGGAAAGAACCTAAACAAGTTTGAGTGAACACACTCTTGTGTACATAAATACAAATGAAAAGGTCTTTCACCAAGACTATTATAAACTCAATGATGTTTGAGATAAACAACATTAAAATCTTAAATCGGCGCTGTGACATACCACTGGTTTTTAGTTGTTTCACTTTGACATCATCCAAGATTTGCTGCTCTGCTGAACATTAGACAATTAAGTTATATCCAATTATGCACCAGTTGATAAATATTCAGTAAACATTGGCAACTTATAGAAACAGAAATAAAAGAACATTATTAAAATCACACCATGAACAAATCATATTATATCAATACCTATGCTTCACAATTTGTAATCTCATATCCTATACTAGTTGGATTCCCTTGGGTATATTGGATATTTAGTTTAAAAGCCAGTTTTCAAAGTGACTTTAATGCTTAGTTTGTTGCACCTGTTTTATATGAATCTCTTTGGTAAACAAACAGGCATTGTATACTTACTTTTTCGTTTAGAAGGCTTTTGTGCATTTTTTGCAGATACACGTTCCCGTTGTTGCACCTTCAGCACTTCCTCCTTGTTCTCTATTATAAACAAAATGTATAACATTAAAATTGTCAAGTACACTTCGTGGAGAAATTAATTACTTTAGTTAGGCAATAAAGTTGTAAGAAATTGTGGACATACATGTAGATCCATGAAGTGATGATAGAATTTCTAGAATGTTTGGAAATCAAATAACAGTCAGTTGAAGCATAGAGCAAGGACCAGAAGTGAATGATGTGATACATGTACAGCCAAAATGCCCTGCCAATCAGGCATGCTTTTCATTTCCACCTTAGTGTAAGTTACCTTGGTAGAAACAATGAGAATGAGAAATAACCCACTGGACTGGATAAACAAGGGTACATGTGAAAATTGCCAACCTCTTCTTCTATGTACAAATACAACTTCTGAAGTATTCCAATTGGGTTCTGCAAATGTCAAATGAAATAAGGCAATTGGGCTTATATGTTATAATGATTAATATACATACCAGATACAGCCAATATTACGGCGTTGTAGAAACTGTGATTCTTCCATGGGGCCATGCAAGATTGGCCAATGGAAAGACGGTTGTGCTGCCCCGTGGAACCATCCTCAAACTCTATCATGCCTGACTTGAGCACATCTGACACCACACCGTCATCGTATTTAACGACAACCCATTGTGCTGATTTTGAAAAAAAAAGAGAAACGTACTTCATATTAACTTCACTAAATTCTGTCCAAACTTTACAATCACCTAGCTGGTCCCAACATGAACGTTACACAGTTTTGGGGCGCCCCAACTATACTTTATTGGGGTAACCCTTTATTGGAACAAAGATGATTGGAATAACCCAGCTCGACACAGGATAGCCTCCGCGAAAAAAACGACTAGGCCTACACTACTACTACAGCATGTATAGCGCCCCAGTTAGTCTGGGTCTAGTTGATGTACCCTAACGTGGCGCGGCCCTACCCCTAGAACTATGGATATTATAATACCCATAGTTCGAGGGGTAGCGCGGCCCCTAACGTGGAGCACTTCAATATTTTGCATCCAGTGCCTTGCTAGAGCAATGTTTTTACCTCAAATTTCACAGCTAGTGAAATTTCATCAAGTTCTAAACATTCCTGTTCATAAATCTTGAGTTTACGTAGGCCTAAGCCTACCCCCTAAAAAGTTCCAATGAAATTCTATTTTGGCGTGATTTTCCGATTTCTTTTGAAGTGCACAAAATGAGCTCTTTTAAAAGGCAGTGGCTATTGTTACGGCAGTCGTAACGCAGCAAGATGTGGTGTTGTAATTCTTATATACGTTTGCATTGTGATTTTACAATGCCGTAACGATAGCATTTGAAGGTTGCGTTACGACTGCCGTAACGATAGCCACTACGCTTTTAAAATGCACCCAAAAATAACAAAATATTTATTTTCAAACTTAATTTATTTTCAAACTTGTAGTTGGGTATATGAGTGGAGGCTATAATGATTTATCAGAATTTATTAATGTTGTGGGATTTTCTGAGTTGTTTAAGTGCGCCACGTAGGCATGGTTAGGCCGGGAACACTCAGCT